TGAAAGCAAGAGACAAGAAGTGATTCTTCCACTCTACTCAGCACTTAAAAGGCCTCAACTGGAGTATTGTGACCAGTTCTGGGCACCATACTTCAGGAAAGATGGGGATAAATTGGAGAAAGTGCAGAGGAGAGCAACAAAAATGATTAAAGGTCTAGAAAACATGACTTATGACTGAAGATTGAAAAATTTGGTTTTGTTCAGTCTGGAAAAGAGAAGACTGGGGGGGGGACGGGACATAAGTCTTCAAGTACATAAATGGTTGTCATAAAGAGGAGGGTGATAAATTGTTCTCCTGTCCCATGAAGGATGGGACAAGAAGCAACAATTGCAGCAAGGGAGATTTAGGTTAGACCAGGAGTTCTCAAACTTCATTGCACTGCAACCCCCTTCCGACAACAAAAATTACTACTCGTGACCTGGGGGGGAGGGGGAGATGGGGACCAAAGTGTGAGCTCGCCCAATCCCTGCCATCCCAGGTGGGGGGGCTAAAGCCTGAGCCCCACCATCCCAGGCTGGGTGGCCAAAGCCCAAGGGCTTCATCCCTGGTCAGGGGGCCTGAAGCCTAAACCTGAGCCCCAGGTGGTGGGGCTCAGGTTTCGGCATTGGGGCTCAGGCTTCAGCTTTAGCCCTGTGTCCCAGCCAGTCTAACTCCAGCTCTGGAGACCCCATTAAAACAGGGTCATGACCCACTTTGGGGTCACAGCCCACAGTTTGAGAACTGCTGGGTTAGACGTTAGGAAAAACTTCTAACTATCAGGGTAGTTAGGCACTGGAACAAATTACCTAGGGAGGCTGTGGAATCTGCATCATTGGAGGTTTAACAGGTTAGACAATCACCTGTCAGGGATGGTCTAGATAATAATCAGTCCTGCCTCAATACAGGGGACTGGAATGGATGACCTATGGAGGTCCCTTCCTTTCCTACATTTCATGATTCTATGTCTAGCTTCATTTCCTTATGGTGACCTCATCCTGGTCATACTTGAGACAGTGGGCATAGGCTTGCCTGGTAGATGATGTCCATGAAGATTGATGCACAGGAGGCATTCTTAGTTGAGCAGCACCTTATCTGAGTGCTGTAAAATGGGCAGCACATAGGTGATAAATTTCTGTAAAAGTGCTAACAACCCACTGAGGTAGGATGGTATTAACTGTCATTTTACAGATGGGCAAACTGCTTAACCCCTTTGCCTCCATTTCCCCAAGATGTCAGTGGCAGACTGGAATTAGAACTCCAGAATTTCTGGCTATGTCCTGTGACTGGACTTCTCTGAGATTTAATGTTCAACAGCCCTGAGCACCTTAAATGAAAGGTGCTATAGAAGTGCAAAGTATTATTCTTTCCCATCCCTGGCCCTGGGAACTAGAGACTTAAGTTAGTACAAGGTTTTTTTTGTATGTTGCCCAATAAAAGTGTCCCAGAAATTATTCACTTTTCTTCTGCCTGCTTACTTTGTCTTGTCTAGGGTGGGTATCTGAATTAAGATGCCCTGCACTCTCCCAGAGTTGTGCTGACTGTGTCTCCAAGTCCTTGTGTAAACTAATGCTAATTGACACGTGCCTCGGACCTGTTGTGGGCAGTAGGGGAGTTGATGCTTTTCTAATGCATTAGGTGCCCCTACATAAGGGAAATGTGCCATTCTTCCAGGATTCTGGCACCTGCACTAGGTGTTGGAAACAGTTTGACCCTGTCAGTATTATCAGCCAGCTGTTTCCTGTCCAGTTTGAGAGGGAGTCTCAGGGAGATTCATGGTTGGCACCTATCCGTTTTTCCAGCATTTAAAACCGTTTCTAGTGTTGCTGGTTCTGCTGTTTCCCAGGCACAGGATGGGGATTCTCTTACTCGGAAAAGCATGCTGCATGACCCCTCGTTTATACTAATAGCACTGTTCTGATGTGTTTCTTGGGGAGCTGGAATCTATCCTTGCATTGTTGGAGCTACTTGTGAACATGGCTGTTTGTTTCAAGTTTTGGTGTACACGCAGCGTTAACGTAATCAAGGGAAGTGCTTTCACAACTGTTAGGTCCTCTGGTCCATGAAACGTGTGCTGCTTTTGCAGTGATTTGTATTTAAAATCAGAATCTCAACACTCACAGTCAGAAAGTCGCAGCCTCTTCTTTGTGCTCTGAGGGGAAGAATGATCACTGAAACAGCAGGAACATACTAGCACAGTGCCACCGGAGAGAATAGTATGCCTTACATATGGGGTGTTTCTAAGCATCGGCCCTTGACATTCTTTGTAAAGAAAATCCAAAAATGTGCAAAAGAAAATTGTGTTCCCCATAGCTCTTGCTCAGTCCCTGTCCTGATGTCCGCTTTCATACTATGTGACTCAGTCAAAGGCTTGACTTCTCTTCAGAAATCATCTGGGAAAATGCTAACCCTACACATGGCAATGCCAGCAGCCAGTTCATTCCTTGATCTTGTGATAAATATTTGGCCATGGTTTATTTTGGCAAAATCTCCATGTGACACGGCTCTGTGACCTGAGAATCGTGAAATCTTTTGAAACTCTTTCTCCATTTAATGCAGCGCTGTCTCCACTTGTTGGGTGATGTTGTTGGAGGTAGCAGAGGGGTTGGCCATTCAGTTAGGGCCACCAACAATTTGATTCATGTGTTGTTTGTTTGTTCTCTTGGTTTTTTTGTGGCCAAGCTGGAGAAAATGGATAATGTTGTGCCCCTTTAAATGTTTGGTTACTGACGCTGACTATACTTTTATTTTACAGTTTGGATATTTACTTGGCATAATATGTGGTTCAGGGCTTCTGGTCTGTCTGTCTCTTTTTCTCTCTCTCTCTCTCTCTCACACACACACTGACACAGAGTTGTAATTATTTAAAAAAACCTTCCTGAGGGATACTGATTCCAGAAACAATTAGAAGCTAATTTGTTTGTTCATCTTTCCTTAGAGAAAAACAGAATACAAGTTATTTTTGTCGTCCCTAATCCTTTGTCTGTTTCGGTGGTGGGACCCAGATTTGCTGCTGTGATGCTTTGTGAAGTGCAGCAAAGGGGTTAAGCTGCTGGAAAGAAGTCTCACAAGTGTGCATCTGGTTTGTTTGAAGAACAGTATTAAACTTCAGTGAATAGAAAGCACCTTGAAATCTTAAAGAATGCTACTATTGGTCAAAACACAGTAGGTCGTAGTCTCTGAACACCCTCGTTGAATTGCTGGGGAATGGGAGTACTTCGTATGTGAATAGATTTTGTGCTACTTTGAACTGTACCATGAGATAAGGTTGACTGACTTTTCCGAATCTGTGTCCCGTACAAAGATGGGGCTATGGCTGTTTTGTTTTTTTTCTATTCCTCCTTGGACCTGTGGGACCCGCACAGGGATCCTTTGAGTGCCTTTCAACACTCCTTATGAGGCTGAAAGTGTCACTGTTGAGAAATGGAATGATCTCACTTTCCCTATGTTCCTCCCACTCTGGGATTGAACGAACCTCTCTTCAGCGCTTCTAACTTTGGCCACAGAATCATAGAATATCAGGGTTGGAAGGGACCTCAGGAGGTCATCTAGTTGAACCCCCTGCTCAAAGTAAGACCAATCCCCAGTTTTTGCCCCAGATCCCTAAATGGCTCCTTCAAGGATTGAACTCACAACCCTGGGTTTAGCAGGCCAATGCTCAAACCACTGAGCTATCCCTCTCCCTATGTCATGCCAGTCTATGTCATTCTTTTTTTTCAAGTTGCTACCATTGGTGGAACTGCAGTGGTGGGAATACTGGTTGCTGGCATTTTAAGCACAGTGTTATGTGGCCCTTGCTCTGAGCTGGCACTTGGTCTGTGCTAACATTGCCACGGTTACTGCTGCCAGGGGAGCTGTATCCTTGTCTCAATGGTAGGAATTTTTTTGGGAACAATGTTACCACAGATGTAGCTTTCTGGTCCAGGAAGCATAAGGCAGAATTATAGAACTGGTTCAGTCTTCTAAAAGTGAATCTACCCTGTTCAGGCAATTTTTTCCTTTGAGACAAATGGGTTTGATTTGGGGAATTTGATATAAATAATTCAAGGTGACTACAAAGGGAACAAAGGAAACTGCACTTCTGCTGTTCTTGCTGCTTTATAATGTATAAACTATGTCTGAAAGATTTATTTAGGAAAGTTTTGTTTGTGTGTTGTACTTTTTGTTGATCGGTTGGGTTTTTTGTTTTGGCCTGTTTTTTTTTGTTTTGTTTTGTTTTTTTGTCAAAAATTCAGGTCTTGTTTACCCTGTTTTCCTGGAAGAATGGGAAGCCAGTAGTAGGTCTGTAATTTCAGATGACAAGGGATCTGAAGTAAAACCTGATTAACTGAAGAGGGAAAGTGATGTTTATCCAGACAGCTGAGATTGCTTTCTGTTTGTAAGCATATTTAACTCAAACATCTAACAAACAGATGGAAGAAAACTCCTCTTGTTAAAGATTCAACACTACCACCCCTTCCGTTAAGGTCTGCGTGCACTCCCAAACTACATCTCTGGGTCCTTCAAGAGACACTTTCCGCAAAATAGGGAAGGCAGGAATTTTGCATTTGACACTTCTAAGGTAAAAAAACAAGCAAGGGAAAACCCTTAGTGTACAAAAAGGAGCCAGGTCTTCCCCATGAAAAGAGAAGTATGAATTCTGACTCCACAAAAATAGGGAGGGTTGACAGAGGTGTTCAAATATAGTAAATTAGAACTTTGAATGATTAACCCCTTTTCCCATCAAAATATCACAGCTAAAGTAGGGAGTTAGCTAAGAAGATAGAGCGGGAATTAACTGACAGCCCTTCTGTGGTCTGTGGATATTGAGTAATCGAGCCCACAGGATTAATTTTTATTCCGGAAGCTTTTAAATTGGTCTCTAAATTAGGAAAAACGGTATGATATAGTCCAGAGTCAACAGGAAAATTTGTCCCTTCCTGATTTGGGGAGTGCTTAAACTTGTGTACAAAATTGAAGATAAGATGGACTATAGTAACTTAATCATGGAGAGGTGACAGAGATTTTTGTGTTGGCTTCACAGAAAAGGCGACTGATGGCTCCTTGCAGAGTGAGGATTGGACACTTAACATGGAGATCTGCGACATTATCAACGAGACAGAAGAAGGGTATGTGCATTATAGATAACTTGGGTGTTTCACACGTTTTGCTGATACTGATCTTTGTTCTTCAGCATGCTAGGTGGTGCAGTGGGCTAATAATGCACAGGTGTCCTCAGATTAAATCCCATTTTTAGGTAGCAAATGAGTTGTTCAGTCTCCTCATCCCAAACTGACACTGATCCACTTCAGACAACCAGCACATCTTGTGGCACTTGCTAGTGTAAGACCTCTGCTCAGAAGAGTTGGAAGGTTAGAATAACATGGGATGTGGCATGTCAGGATTGAGATTCATTAGCAGAGCTCTGTGTTGGCCCAGCACCAAAATGACAGCACTAGATTTTCATGGTGCAATATCTAATTCCTGGGTGTATCCAAAAGCACATACTAAATGTGCTACAATAGGGATTATTGAGCCTGTATTTTTAGGAGACATGCTTGTAACTTCCAAGCCTCCAAATGCTGCATTGCTACCAGATCCTAACATTTGAAGAGACGGACCTCTCTGGTATCCTCTGCCACTTCAGCACTCAGGCTGCGTTGCTTGCACTACACAGCAGGCCTGTTCTCAATGGTATTACGCCTTTGGCCTCTTTCCGAGTGGCTGTCTGCTGTCTTGTTCATACATCGCCCTTGTATATGCATTCTCATGCTGAGCTTTCAGTGATCATAGCTGGGTTATCTAAAGTGAACGCAAATGCTCCTGCCCTGTCAGAAAGGGTTAGGGAACACCGATGTTCCCACCTTATGAGGAGTGAAAATGATATGTTTGTTTCTCCTTCAGTCCAAAGGATGCTATCCGAGCACTGAAGAAGAGGCTGAATGGAAACAAAAATTACAGAGAGGTGATGCTGGCTCTAACGGTGAGTGGGATGAGCTGGGAAAGTGCCAAAGAAAGCTACCATAGTATCGTTTACCTTCAGAAAGGGGAACTACACAAAAATGAGGATGCTAGTTAAATGGCAATTAAAAGGAACAGTCACAAGGGTGAAATGCCTGAAAATTGCATGGAGACTATTTAAAAACACCATAATAGAGGCTCAAATTAAATGTATTCCCCAAATGAAAAAAAAAAAGCAGTAAGAAGACACTCCCTCCCCCCCCCCCCCCAAAAAAAAGCCACTGTCACGAAATAGCGGCGCAAAAGAGACAGAGGCAAAAAGGTGTCCTTTAAAAATTGGAAGTCCAATCCCAGTGAGGGAAAATAGAAAGCAGCATAAACTCTGGCAAGTCAAGTATAAAAGTATAAGGCAGGCCAAGAAAGAATTTGGAGAGCAACTAGCCAAGGGCGCACACAAAATTTTTACTATTAGTTTTTAAGTACATCAGAAACAGGAAGCCTAAACTAGATCAGCATAAATTACTACATTGTGCATTTGCACAGCCCCACTAGAGCGTGAGGTAATTTGGCAGTGACCTTTCCTGCTGATCATGTCAGCAAGGCTATTGGTTGAAAAGGGCCTACTGGGTGACATGGCAGATCAGAATGTGTTTTGGTGGGTGAAACTTGCACTTCCTGAATGTAAGGGACAAATACTATTGACTAGATCAAGGCATAACGTTGTAGGTAGGTGATCTGCATGTTTCCCCTGCACCCTGCCAGCATGGTTTAGTCCTCCCTTGCTATATCCCATGCTGCTCCCTCCTTAGGATAGATGGTTGCCAGTTGTACTGACCTGTGAGGTGGTTGTCACTTGTATGAAGATGACCATTCTAAATTCTTTTTCATTCTTTACCTATCTGGCTTTGACTCAAAGTCATTCAGATAGCTGCCAGTTAAGGGGTTTGTTGGGGAGAATTAAAATAAGGTGCTAGTGTCCCAAGGAGTAAAATGAGACTGCTGTGTCCATCTTAATGTGGATATGGAATTATACATTGTCTTGAAAAGAGGCTGAAACCTGGACTTGCAGGCTTCAATGCCCATGTTGTCAGGTGTGAGGACATCACTAGGAGCAGAAGCTCCTCGGCTGTGGGGTCATGGCCGTTATTAGCCATGGTTATATGTAAAAGCTGTGTGTTGTATTTCTCTCCATGTACATCATGTTCTTCACAGAAAACAGTCAATAGCTGCTGTTCTGTGGTAATCGAATGTCTAAGTGAGAATGACTCCAGCTAAGTTATGGGGGAAATGTGGATATAGCCTGTCAAAGAATTCAAAAGCAGAGTGTTTTGAAGGATTTAACATAATTTGGCATAATACCCATGTAAAACTCTGTAACATGGATTGTAAATTGGGGTGTCCTGGTTCAGTCACATTTCAGGAGCATGGAAAATGGGTGTCTCTAAACCTGACCCTGTGACAGGATATCCATTTGACATGTTCTTGTTGTAACAACCTATGTGCTGAAATTTGGTGTACAAACAGCATAAGTGAGCAAACTTCAGTGAAAGTGGCAGAAACTTTATTTCTTCACCTTGACAATAACAAAAGTTGGATCACACAAGACTCTGGGGTGTTAATAATAGAGATTTATTTTATCACAAGACAAAAGGTATCCAGAAAGGAGAAGACTTTAATATGAATCACATTTTGTCAGCATCTTTTGGTGCCCAAGGCATTATTTCTAGTGATATTGTCTCATCAGCTGGATTACCCCCTCACTGACTAATGTCCAAAAGCAAAGGTCCAAAATTACCAGTGAAAATTTAAAATGAGAAAGGGCTACATGTTTGATCCAATTAAACGTCAGGGTACATCTAAAGGAAAATTGCTACACTTTGGCTATTAACCAGTTGACTGGTTTGCATGGTTCCTGGTAAAGGTAACTGAACATATAAATGAATTCCTAGGGTTGTATGTAGAGGAGGAAGCTCTGTAGGCATACTGGGAATGGTGTGCAGGGGAAAGAAGCAAGAATAGGGTACTAAGCCTCCTCTTCCCCTCTCCTTCCCCCCTCTTCCCCCCAATGCTGACACTTTGTACCAGGAGGATTCTTCCTGTTGTGAACGTGATCAAGCTTTGTTCCATCAGAGGTTCTTTGTGTTTCTTGTGTAGGTATTGGAGACCTGCGTGAAAAACTGTGGTCATCGCTTCCATGTCCTAGTGGCAAACCGAGACTTCATAGATGGTGTTCTGGTGAAAATCATCTCACCCAAGAACAATCCTCCCACCATTGTACAGGATAAAGTACTAGCCCTGATTCAGGTATGCAAGTCAGCTCTTCAATTCTGTACGCCATCTCTGAGATAGGGGCTGTCTCTCTGAGCACTGTATAGTGCTGAGCATGGTGTTAGTGTTAAATGTATAATGTCAAACCCACAATGAAATTGGAGACACTAATATATGAAGTTTAGGGGCAGAACTTACCTAGGGGAAAAATGCCTTCTCAATTCTGAATACACAGGATTCTTTAAAGTCATCACTTTGGTAATGAGTGGTTTTTTTTAAAGGCAGCACATCTACTGGTTAGACGGGCGACCTAGAAGTTGATGACCTATATTCTGTTACCAACCCTAATTGACTCACTGTATGAGGTTAGATAAGTTGTTTTAGCAGCACATTCTGCTCTCAGTGAAATAAATGGGAAAACTCCTGTTGATTATTTTTTTAAATAGTGCAAGATCAATCTCTTAATCTCTCTCTGCTCCATTTCCCTGTCTGAAAATGGGACTACTTTTCCATCTTTAATAAGCCCTTTGTACTTCTATAAGTAACATTCATCAAAAGATCTCATTTTCTCTGCTTGCTCTGCAGCAGCAGTTTACTCTCATACCATTTCCTGAACTGTCAGCTCCTTGCCCAAAGTGGTAAAGGTCAGAAGTGCACATCTGCCACTTACTTGTATGCTGCACAAAAGGGTAAACAAAGCCATGCTAATTTCATGTCCTATTAGAATTGCATGAAGAAACATTGGTGCTGGAGGAAACCTGACAGTCATAGGAAGCTTAATTTGCAAGCTTCTACTAGGCTATTGCAAACACCAGACAGTTAAAAACTGTCTATATTAAAAACGATATAAAGGTTCTGAGTTGGTTCTTGGTGGGAATAGGTTTACAGGCACATAATGCAGTTTTCAAAACATATTTTTAATTTGAGCAGGGAAATGGTCTACTGAATTTCCAGTTGTTTCTTGGGCACACCAGGTGGTACGTATTTAAAGCATATACAGGAACATAAATGAAGCCACTAACACTTACTAAATAAGATATATTTTTTTAAAACAGGAAATAAACTGGGTGGAAGACTTAGGAGTGGACTGCGTAGGAGCTTCAGGAGCCCCTTCGCCCTCCCTTCCAACCCACTGCTTCTTCCATAAATAATGCAACTTTAATAGAACTGTTTAAAAGAGGCTCCTCTTAGTCCAAGTGAACCTTCAGACGTCCCCTCCCTTCGGTGGGAAAGCCGATGGGTGAGATCACAGTACAATAATCTGTATTATGCGCTATTAATAGAAACGTCTTAACACCAAAGTGTGTTTATTTCCTTACTAAGGCTTCTACAGTGGTTTTTTAGGATGCTGGCTAACTTGATGCCCAGATCCATGTCGTTTCCACCCATTAATAGAACAAGAGTGGAACAGTGGTTGCAACATTACCGTGAAGCCAGAGTCATTGCTCTGTATAGTTACATATATTTATATCTGACTAGATCTAGTGCGGTGGGGTTAAAAGCCTTCATTGGTTTCTAATCCAAAATGCCTTTTGGCATAAACAGAATGGAAATTGTGAAGAGTTGCCTGCGGTTGGCTCCTCTCACAACGTCTTTGTTTTGTCAGAGGTGGTGAGTGACTTTGTTTTCTAGATTGTCTGATAATTCAGAGAAAGGGACTACAGAAGTACTTCTCCGCTCCCTGATGGGGGCACACAAACATGGAATATCCTGCATCTCATCCAGCTTTCCTCAGCTTTAAGACTCTGCTCTTCTTGTTCTCTGATCCAAGGGGTTGCTGTCTCTTCCCAGCTCCACTCTATTATATCGTTTTAATGGCCCACACTTCCCCTCTTCTGTAGACTTATGATTTAATAATAGGGAATTTTAATGCCTATACAAGTGAGGACTAACAGCATAAGATAGAATTATGGGAATGTGCTGTGCAAACATCTCTTGAAGCAACCCTCGCTGTTATACTCCTGTGTCTTTCCTGAGTGTGGATTGCTGCGGGATGGTGGCTTTGTGTCTCCATCTTAAAACTAGTTAGGTAGTTTGTGCCCCCTGCTGCTGTTAGGAAGCTGTTCCAGAGCCTCCCTCCTCTGATGGTTGGAAACCTTCTTCTAATTTCTAGCCTAACTTTATTCATGGCCAGGTTTATTTGTTCTTGTGCCAGCATTGTTCTTTAGCTTAAATAGCTCTTCTCCCTCCCTTGTGTTTACTCCCTGATGTATTTGTCAGCCTCATTTTGCAAGGCTAAACAAGCCAAGCTGTTTTAGTCTCCGCTAATAAAATTGGCTTTCTGTTCCCCCTAATCATCCTCCCAGCCCCTCTCTGAAGATGTTACAGTTTGAATCCATTTTTCTTGAACGTGTGTGGCCAGAACTGTACACAGTATTCCAGATGAGTTCTTCTCAGTGCTTTCTACAATGTCATTAATAGTACAACCAGTATTACATTAACTATCCCTGTCAGTGCTGGAAATAGCTCACCTGGATGCTCTAGGTGCTACAGTAATACAAATAATGTTGTACTGACTAAGTTGACCATAACAAGAAGGTCATGTAGTATGGCCTCTTTCGTCAACCAACAGATTTCACAACTTTTTTAATTTGTTCATATAGTGTCAATTACAACTGTATTTTGGAAATGCTTTTATAGAATATGGCTCTCGCCTGGATCAGGTGCTCACAAGTTCAAATCTAGCAGGGTTAGGGCCTGCACTATGCCACGCTGCAACTTTTGGAAATAGGAGTTCAGTGGTTCAGCTATTTGGATGTGGGGTGAACCGAAGTTCCTTCTGCCCAGCCGTGGCACTGTCCAGGTGAAAGCTGGACCCCACAAAAAAAAAAAAAAAAAAATCATCAAATCAAAAGGCAAGATTTAAAGACTGGAGATGATTCAATGGGGAGGGAGATCCACACAGCCAGAACAGCACAAATGAGTGTGTCTCCTTTCTGTAGAGGTGGAGAGTTGCAGAGGAGAGGCCAGATTAGCAGGTAGAAGAGTAGGCCAGTGAAGCATGGGTGCAATTGTTTCTCTTCCTGGGGAACCAAACCATAGTAACAGCTCTGTACAGCAATGCGGTGCCCCTGGGGTGGTACTCAGAGCGTGAGTCATTCTGTGCAGTGGCTAAACAGAGCTCACCTGGGACCACTTCAGTTTCACTCTATTAATAGAAAGGCAGAGTGGAAAGTGCTATTCTATAGAAATGGGTTTAAACTGCTGCTCATGTAAATTACAAACATCAGGACAGTACAAGATTAGTTACTTCTGCAACAAGGATGCTTCTGTTGTAATTAAGGAAGCTTCTTTGAAACTGACCTTTCAAACCTGAATGGCTCTTCTCAGTTGGAGATAGTTTCTCCTGCTGAAATGGGATTGATGGAACTCCTATTGCTTCTGAACAATCAGTGCAATTAATTTACTGTAACAGTACTGGGAAGCAGAACTGTTAGCCCCCAAGAAATGATGGATTCTTCCCGAGGTATATAGGGTACTAAATACAATTTCCTAGAAATGAGCAGAGTAAGAGTGTAAGTAAAATACTTAATCTTATTTTTAATCTGTTTTATCCTTGATTGAAATGATGGCTGAAAACTTTTTTTGGGTGAAAATAGTCAAAGTTTTTTTTTCAGAATATGATTACATGGTGAGCGTTCGTGGAGAACTTATTCCAATCTTACCAACATTTCTCTGAATAGCTCTCTAATTTAACAGTAATACTTTACCTTCCATGTGACTTCTTTCACGTGAAAAGCCAAGTGGACCAAACTTTTAATGAAAGTATGGTCTTTTGGAATATGACCTAAGAGATCTTTGTGTGTGCACTTACATTTTCCTTTGCCTTTATTGTGAAACATCTTTTATTACATTTCTTAGGAATTTTACTTAAATTGCTTCTGTCTCAAAGCTTATTGCAGGGCTAGAATTAAGTATGAGGGCAGATATCAACGTACCACCAAATATAACTAAATGAGTGAATTACCCACTTCTGCCTATGTAATTGTTATGTGGGACTACTATACACTGTGAATCCCCATTTATTTTCTGTTTCATGCTTGACCATCTGGGTAGAAACCCAGAATCTTTTAGATCAGCTCTAATATTGAAAGTCTCCTTTGAGCCTGAAATGCATGAATGCGTTTCTGGTTTGGCTCTGAGTCGTGTGATAGAAGAGGTAGAAGGGAACTTGCAGATCATATGGAAGTCTTATGAATAATCCTGTATGTTGTTTTCCAGGCTTGGGCAGATGCATTTCGAAGTAGCCCTGATCTAACTGGAGTAGTGCATATTTATGAAGAACTCAAAAGGAAAGGGATAGAGTTTCCTATGGCAGATCTTGATGCTTTGTCTCCAATACACACACCACAGAGGGTAAGCTGCAGTGAAGGATTTTCCAGGGCCATATGAATAATTGGATACTATTCTTCTAACTTCTGCTCTTTTCCTCAGCTGTTGATTTATTAAAGTTGCCCCAAACTTTCTCAAACCTGGATGGCCTTTGTAATAGTAAAAGGGAGTGGAAAAGAATAAGGGAACTGCGTTGACAGGCTGATAAACTACTGGCATCCCCTTGAGACAAACATCAGCTCAAGAACAGAATGAGTCTGAAGGAGTTTTATACACTTGTTCTGTACTGAATATTGTGATCTATCACCAAACTGCCACACAAACATAACTAATCTGCTCAGGACCAGCCCGGGCAAGATCTATTGTTGAGTTAATTATCTCTCCCCCAGAGAGGACAATTGTTTCTGTTGATGATATGGCGGAACTGCCTTCAATGAATCTTGTGCAGATGAACAAAGAAGGCCTGACTTTCAAAGGTTGCTTAGCACGCAAGCCAGTGTTCTGCATTTTGTGTACTTTTTATTTTGCTTTACACAATTCATGGGGGACATCACAAGAAACCAGTAGATGTCCCCCACTTTCAAAGGTGCTAAGCAACCACAGCTCCCGTTGACTTTGTGTGAGCTGCAGGTACTCAGTACCTTGGAAAGTCAGGGCTTACAAACTCGACTCGGCTATTACTGTTGAAAAGTAAACTTGCTGATCACAAATATTCAGACTGTTCACTGTGAAACTATATGGCAATGCAGTAATATAGCTGCAAATTTAAATACACAGAAAAACAGGAAATGCACTTAGGTTGTGACAGCAAAATAAATTACCTGCAATGTGTGTGTAGCAAATGATTTTGTAAAATGTGACTTCATTTCTAGGCTACATTTCTTTCACTCTCTGAGCCTTGTTTTTATTTTCTGTCTTGCCTTTCTTGTGGAGGAAAACTGGAACTAAAAGTTATGGATTGGGATAGAAGAGATGAATATAGCTTGTCAATGCTATTCCACATTTATGCTCTGATATGTCAGCTTGTATTCCATAACAAAAATTGACCTTTTCCTGAAGGTGGAGCTATGGTCTGTACTTGGGCATATTGCCTTAGGGTTGATGCAAACCAAGCACTGTCAGCATTCAGCATTTGAACCCTTTCTTTTTCTGATGTAACAGAGTGTTCCTGAAGTAGATCCAGCAGCAAATATGCATGTGTCCCAGTCCCAGCAAAAGACGAGCACGAGTTCCTATTCATCCCCATCTCCAACAACATATTCAGCTCCTCAGGCCCCACCTCTGAATGTGACTGGTCCCATCACTGCCAATTCTGAACAGGTACTGGGATAGAATTCTGGTTATTTCAAGTAAATAGATGAGTAAGGCTCTTAGCTCAGTAAATCAGCCTACTGAGCTGTCATCATAATCATCTATTTTAATTTTTCTGAAGGTAAGTTTCAGTTGCAACCGAGATCTGGTTTTGTCTAGTGACCATTTCTCCTGTTGTGGATTGTGAAATCAATCTGCCTTTAAGGCTGTAAGAAAATTGTGACTTTTGTTGTTCAAAAGTTGTGGCCACAATTGGTTAAAGTTGCAGTTCAAGGCATGTAGCCTGCCTTCCAAAGCAGGGCAGCAGCACAGAAGAGACATCATGTGTCCTGCTTGGTTCTCGAAGGCAAGCATGACAGTGGGTGGAGTGGGCCAAATTTGAGTGGTGGTGTGACCCTGTCCAACCGGTTGCGACACCACTTGCTCAAATTACGCCTAGTCATCCTTCTGCCATGGCGGGAAGGGAGAGCAGGCCTAAAGTGATGAGTGGCTTTGCAACCTGGTTCATGGGATCGTAGCATCACTCAAATTTGCAGCAGCTGTAAAAGGTTTTAAAAGGTATTAAAAGTTGTGGTTTCCACAACAAAATGATGGGCTGCAATTTTCTTACAGCTGTATCTGTCTTGGATACACACAGTATCGATTACTGTAGTATCTGAGCATCTCAGTCTTTTAATGTATCCATCCTCCCAGTCCCTGTGTGGTAGGTATGTCTTACTGTTCCCAACTCATCACAGAGAGACTAAATAACTTGAACAAGGTCACAGAGGGAGTCTGTGCCAGAACTGGGAACTGAATTTGGGGCTCTCAAGTCCCAAGCTATCACCCTAACCATTGGCCCATCCTTCCTATGAGATGCAATGAATGCAAATCCAAAGAGGAAACGCCCTGATCCAGAGGTCATGTCTCCTTTTCCCCTCATCCATATCCATTTTGAGAGAAGAGGGTAATGTTTTATAGCATAATTCTGTTTAATTTAGCTGCTCTTCTTGTTTACTTCCATGTTTCCATCTGAGTGTTAGCACAGCTGGCTTTGTCATGGTGATGAATAACTAAGCTTGGCAGGATTTGATTTCAATCCACAAAGGTCAGTAAACGTCGATTTCAGCTGACACTGAAATCGACAGGAAAAAAAATCAATTGGTAACAGTTGGTGCGCCTGCAGGGAGAGGGTGTCCCAGCCCTGCAGCAACACAGGGAGCTCTCTGCAGTCCTGCTGTCATGGGAGTGAGGGAGCAGGGCCCTGACAGCACAGCTGCAGAGAGCTCCCTGCACTGCCACAGGGCCGATGAACCCAGACTCTGCAGGTGCAAGGTGCAGGGAAGTCTGCTGTCCTGGCCTGGAGGAGCAGAGACCTCCTGGCCAAGACGGCAAGGAGGAGTTGTCCTCTGCCACTGCGGAGGCAGCCTTGCTGCTGAATGGCTCCATCCCCAGGCAGGAGCTATTCAGCAACAGGAATGTCTCCCCTACAGCCAGGAACTCCTTGTCATCCTTGTAGCTTTGGCTTGCAGTGTCTGCTCTGCCCAACCAGGACCACAGCCTTTCCCATACCTTGTGCCTTGTGATTCAATGTCACCAGCCTTTCGGCAGCACAGGGAGCCATCTGCAACCCGGCTGTCGGTGGAGCCCTAATCCCAACGCTACCACCCCTTAATTTCGAACAACTGTAAAACTTAAAATTGTTAAAAATAAAAAAAAAGTCTTAAAAATAAAACTGAATATTAATTGTTGAAATTAGAGAAAACAAAAATCGAATTCTGCCACGTCCTTCATAGCTTCTTTCTTCAGCACCGATCTGAAATATTACTTATCTAGAAAAAAGAAAAGGAGTACTTGTGGCACCTTAGAGACTAACCAATTTATTTGAGCATGAGCTTTCGTGAGCTACAGCTCACTTCATCAGATGCATACCGTGGAAACTGCAGCAGACTTTATATACACACAGAGAATATGAAACAATACCTCCTCCCACCCCACTGTCCTGCTGGTAATAGCTTATCTAAAGTGATCAACAGGTGGGCCATTTCCAGCACAAATCCAGGTTTTCTCACCCTCCACCCCCCCACACAAATACACTCTCCTGCTGGTGCTAGGAGATTTAAATGGCTGATTTAGAACAACGCTTCCTCAGCTCTCGTCCCCTAAAGCCCCTACTCTACTTGCGCTATATTGATGACATCTTCATCATCTGGACCCATGGAAAAGAAGCCCTTGAGGAATTCCACCATGATTTCAACAATTTCCATCCCACCACCAACCTCAGCCTTGTCCAGTCCACACAAGAGATCCACTTCCTGGACACTACAGTGCTAATAAACAATGGCCACATAAACACCACCCTATACCGGAAACCTACTGACCGCTATTCCTACCTGCATGCCTCCAGCTTTCACCCTGACCACACCACACGATCCATCGTCTACAGCCAAGCTCTGCGATACAACCACATTTGCTCCAACCCCTCAGACAGAGACAAACACCTACAAGATCTCTGTCAAGCTTTCTTACAACTACAATACCCACCTGCAGAAGTAAAGAAACAGATTGATAGAGCCAGAAGAGTTCCCAGAAGTTACCTACTACAGGACAGGCCTAACAAAGAAAATAACAGAACGCCACTAGCGGTCACCTTCAGCCCCCAACTAAAACCCCTCCAACGCATTATTAAGGATCTACAACCTATCCTAAAGGATGACCCAACACTCTCACAAGTCTCGGGAGACAGGCCAGTCCTTGCCTACAGACAGCCCCGCAACCTGAAGCAAATACTCACCAACAACCACATACCACACAACAGAACCACTAACCCAGGAACTTATCCTTGCAACAAAGCCCGTTGCCAATTGTGCCCACATATCTATTCAGGGGACACCATCACAGGGCCTAATAACATCAGCCACACTATCAGAGGCTCGTTCACCTGCACATCCACCAATGTGATATATGCCATCATGTGCCAGCAATGCCCCTCTGCCATGTACATTGGTCAAACTGGACAGTCTCTACGTAAAAGAATAAATGGACACAAATCAGATGTCAAGAATTATAACATTCATAAACCAGTCGGAGAACACTTCAATCTCTCTGGTCACGCAATCACAGACATGAAGGTCGCTATCTTAAAACAAAAAAACTTCAAATCCAGACTCCAGCGAGAAACTGCTGAATTGGAATTCATTTGCAAATTGGATACTATTAATTTAGGCTTAAATAGAGACTGGGAGTGGCTAAGTCATTATGCAAGGTAGCCTGTTTCCTCTTGTTTTTTCCTACCCCCCCCCCCCAGATGTTCTGGTTTAACTTGGATTTAAACTTGGAGAGTGGTCAGTTTAGATGAGCTATTACCAGCAGGAGAGTGAGTTTGTGTGTGTATGGGGGTGGGGGGGATGTGAGAAAACCTGGATCTATGCAGGAAATAGCCCGACTTGATTATGTAAAGAGTTGTCACTTTGGATGGGCTAGCACCAGCAGGAGAGTGAATTTGTGTGGGGGGGTGGAGGGTGAGAAAACCTGGATTTGTGCTGGAAATGGCCCACCTGTTGATCACTTTAGATAAGCTATTACCAGCAGGACAGTGGGGTGGGAGGAGGTATTGTTTCATATTCTCTGTGTGTATATAAAGTCTGCTGCAGTTTCCACGGTATAACATCTGATGAAGTGAGCTATAGCTCACGAAAGCTCATGCTCAAATAAATTGGTTAGTCTCTAAGGTGCCACAAGTACTCCTTTTCTTTTTGCGAATACAGACTAACATGGCTGTTCCTCTGATACTTATCTAGAGTAATCTATCTTATTTATGATGAGATGTAGTAGCCTCTCTGTGATCTCCAATGACAAGCATCAGATTTACTGTTCCCAAGTCAAATCACAGAAGCAGGGGAGTTGCAGAGCCAGTACTTAAAAATGTTCTGCTTAACACTGAAAGGTAATATGGTCCTTGCTTTCTCTCCTCCCCAAAAATAGATTGCCCGGCTGCGTAGTGAACTGGATATTGTTCGTGGGAACACAAACGTGATGTCTGAAATGTTAACAGAAATGGTTCCTGGACAGGAGGATTCATCGGATCTTGAGTTGCTACAGGTAAGTGTGTTTTCCAGCAAATCTGTTCCTGGAGCCTGGCATGATGGGGGTTTCCTTTTCCTACGCTCCACTTCAGTTCCTTGGTTTGTCTGGTTCTGTATTGGAAGTGTGCTTCTGTCTGGACTCCTTAACTGGGCAATAGTCATGCTTTTTGGATGCTGTTGTGCAATTGAGGTATGTGATGAAATCCTCAAGGCGACTTCAGTCCTGTTCTGTGAACTTTGCTTGTTCCTTAATCTTTCGCTAATGCTGTGGTATTGAACCCGAAGAAAGAATTGAAATTGGAGGAAGGCCAATGCAATCCGTACTTCAGCAAACACTTAGGGTCATCTTTATAATGGCAAAAAGACCCCAAATCCTGACAGAGCACAAACCTATTCTCTGTTCCAGGATGGATTAAATTTTACCAAGGGATACTGTCAATTCTTCGTCACTTGAAATCTTTATATCCAGACTGGATATCCCTTTCTTAAAGGTACTCTAGCTCAGCCAGAAGTTATGGGCTTGATGTAGGATACTGTTCTTTGTTCTCTGGCTTGTGCTGTGCAGGTCAGACTAGATGATCATAATGGCCCTTCTGGCGTTAAAATCTATGAATACATTGAATCAGCAGTATTCCAGATGAGCCAGCCTTAATGGGACTAAGTTCATCTCCCAGGCTTCATGTCTTGTTCCCCAAGCCAGCAATGGCTGAGGGTGCTACTGGGGCAGTACACTCAGTTGCGGGCAGGCAGGTAGCCATTCAGCAACAGGAATGCTGAAGTAGACAAGGTCTCTGCCCTGAGAAAGTGATGAGCTGACTTTCCAGCTTCTGTCCCTGTTCGTTACTTGCCTTCTCTTCCAAAGTAGGCTATCGTCTCATCACTGGGCCAGTGGAGGATGTACCCCCACCTCACGTGGCACAATGGGAGCAAAGCAGGGAATTGCTTTCTGTGATGCACCAGAGTTCGAAATTGGTCCAAAACCTGGTCTTTCCGATGCAGCAGCAGTGTCTTGTCTCGAAGCCATCATGGCAGCTCATGGGAGACTTTACAATAGATAAGGAGCCTTTCAGCTACTAAGCCATTTGGATTGGATTGATCAAAACAAAAGCAGCTTCCAGGACACTGTGGCAGACCAAAACAGCACAGAACCATTTGTTTATATTTATAAACAAGCACGAAAATCCTGACCCAGTGTAATGCCAGTCTAGCTCTGAGGTTAGAGAAATGATCACACAGTGAAGTGTGACAGTAGTGATTCTTTATTCAGACTGGTTCTCTCCAGCTGATGCAGCCTAAATCTGGGTCACCGAGGAGAGAGACTATTTTTGACTTTAAAGCTGGAAAGGTGTGAGCTGGATACTTATATGTGAAGGACTTCTTGCTTTGAGGTTTTATATCGTCGTGCTTCTTAAATAGTTCCTGACATTTTCCTCCACAATTAAATGTAAACAGCCTGCCTAAGAGCCACGACTGAGCAGAATAGATAGGGACTGTCAGCCCTATCCACTATGGCAGCAAGCAAACCTCTGAAATGTCACAATCTGCTTCTAAAGTGACTGGGATCAAAACTGACATTGGAGAACATATTCCTCAAGCTGTTAAGGCAGCTGGATTGCATGAAGTGAAATTTATCCAGAGCTTAGAATGTCAGAGCAAGCAAAGAAAACAAACACGTTTTGCTTTCATCCCAAAGGTTATGTACCAACAAGTCATCCTTGTTTAGTGCTGAATTTCCTCTCTGGGGAGGGGTGGGAGAAGAGGCGGAACATGATTTGGTTGAAAAGCTTATTCTCATTGGAGTAAAACTGGGGTCTCGCCAGTGGCATCAGGCAGCTCTCCTGACATGTCAGTTTTAACCTCTGGTCCATACAATTGCAACCCTGTGCCCTCTGAGACTGCCAGAGGTGAAAGACTATACCCATTAATTGGTGATGGCAGAGAAAGCAGATCACTTAACTAAGGCAAACTTGAACCCATATCCCTTGAGGTGAAAGACATCTACAGGGCACACCTCTTTGCAGTCTAGCCTTTAAGGTTCTCTCCTTAATCATTCAGTGCCCTGGGTTACATCTTATCAGTGGACACGCTGACCCCGGTGAGACTCTACTATTTGGTGTTGTGTAGTACTACTATCCAGAATGTTTTAGCGTTTAGTTCTGCAATGTGTGTAGTTTGTATTTGTTTCCATAATACATGGTCACGCTTTGTGCTGTGTGCTTCCACTTTCCCAGCTGCTGGGGTGTTTCTTTTTCACTGTGTCTAGCCAAACCAGTGGCAAATACCAGTGATCACTTTCCCATGCTCCTAAGCCCGACAGGACAATACCTTTGGTGCTTTGTGCTGCTAGGCAGAAAACCTGGGTGTGTCCATTCTGGGAGGCCCTGGCTGTAGTATGCTTACTCCCAAAAATATTTATGAAAATAATCCATAGGTATTTAATTTTTTAAAAATCTTTGCCATGTATTTATGATTAAAGAAGAACTAGACACAGAATCATAAATAGGCCGTCAAGGTTTTAGGCCATGGTCCTTCTGAAACGTGTGTTCTCTTGGGTGGCATTTAATCTTCCGTAATCCACATTGTGTTGGTGCTTCTCATCTGATTGAGAATGCTGAGCCAGTGATGCATGTGGCTGAAAACAGAGCCCAAGCAAATATACTTGTTCTTCACTGGTTATTGTAATACATGCGTGTACAATTTATTTCCTTAGGAACTGAACCGAACCTGTAGAGCTATGCAACAGAGAATTGTGGAACTTATCTCCCGAGTGTCCAATGAAGAAGTCACGGAGGAACTGCTGCATGTGAATGATGATTTAAATAACGTCTTCCTCAGATATGAGAGGTGGGACACCTTTTCCAGTAGTCCTATTTACTCCCACATTTTGGGTTTCCTCAGAAATGCAGGACAAATTATTAAGCAACCAATAAGATGAAATGCAAAGCAAATTGGAGGAACTGGACCAAGAAACTGGTATGAAGAATTCATATGTTCTCCATTGTGATTGGCCTTAAATTCATCCGTGTCCCCAAGAAGGCTTACAGATTCTGGTTTTAAAAGATGCTGAGATTTTTTTCATAGCCACTGAGTTTTGGTTTCTTTTAGAATTGCAAAAAAGAGAACTGATTTGAATGTAGCTATGACTTCTCAAAGCACTGGGTTGTAAAAGTTGCAAATAAACGCTGGGCTCCTACCTTTTAAATTCAAAACCAGAAATGTGTTTTAAAATTAGAGACTGATTGCTGTTACATTACATATCCTACTAAATGTAGCACTCTTGGGAAAGTTTAATCCTTCCCTGAATGATTGGTGCAGGAGTCAAACCTATTAAAAAAGGGTGCTTGTCTCCCCTACTGATAACACAAGCCTTGTTTATAAAAAAAGCTTTTTAAAAATAAATTAGACTCTAGCTGTGTGATTTTGTGCTGTCACAGAAAAACTGCACATTGATGCAAAAAATCCGTATCCCCAATCCATTTCACCTAGTCTTTTGCACCAGATTCTTCACAATTTCCAAACTAGAATTGTTCCTCATGCTATGAATTGGGACAATTCAACACCTGTGAGCAGGATTTTACAAGTAGCGAAGTGTAAATGTCTCTGCTTAAGGCTCAGAATGAGACCGATTACCCGTAAAATGGTGAAACTTGAAACATTTTTCTCCATCTCGAATCTCACTGAATGGGGTTAAGCTTATTATTGCGTTTTACACCTAAAGGGCAGCTGCACAGTTAAAAAAAACGTTTGAAAAACGCAAATAAATTGCAGAGTCACTGCGTAGGTTTGAATATTTCAAGCATGTAGAAACCAGTTTATCCTCTTCCTCCATTACTCAGAGTTCAGAATTCCAGGTGTTGGTTTCTGGTGCCACTGATGACATAAAATGCAGTCAGTGGATGCAAGCAGGAACTGACTTCTTGAATTTGGAGCTTGTTGGTTCACAGGAGAAAGTGGCTTGTAAATCTTAGTAGCACATATTTCTCAATACAATGGGGATGCTTTCATTTTTGGGAGCACGCAGAGTGGGGCTTGATATTTCAGAAAAGCTGAGCATGCACAGCCTCCACAGACACTTACAGAAATTTGGGCCTAAACTTCCCTCTATATTTGCTCTTAATTGACAATGTAGATTCCACTGTTAGTTTAAGAAATCTTCGCAGTTCACTCTGACATTGTCCTGTTGGCAGAAGGCCCATGGTATTGAATGAACGTGCACAGGTCCTGACTTTCGTACCGGGTGGAGGGGGTTGGAGTTTCTAATTGATCTTTATTCAGAAACAGGCTGACTTCAAAACATTTTGTTGTGTTTCATAAGGAAAGAGGGTGATAGATGGCTTTTGTAAAGGGAAATCACGCCTTGCCAATCTATTAGAATTCTGTGAGAGGGTCAACAAACGTGGACAAGGGTGATCCAGTGGATACAGCGTACTTAGACTTTCAGAAAGCCTTTGACAAGGTCCTTCACCGATGGCTCTGAAGCAAAGCAAGCACTCATGGGATAAGATCGAAGGTCCTCTCAAGGATCGATAACTGGTTAAAAGATAGGAAACAAAGAGAAGGAATAAATGGTCAGTTTTCAGAATGGAGAGAGGTAAATAGTGGTGTCCCCCAGGGGTCAATACTGGAACCAGTCCTATTCAATATATTCATAAATGATCTGGAAAAAGGGGTAAACCAGTGAGGTGGCACAATTTGCAGATGATACAAAGCTACTCAAGATAGTTAAGTGCAAAGCAGACTGAGAAGGGTTACAGTGAGATTTCACAAAACTGTGTGAGGGCAACAAAATGGCAGGTGAAATTCATTGTTGACAGATGCAAAGCAATGCACATTGGAAAACATAATCCCAACTATACATGTAAAATGATGGGGTCTAAATTAGTGGTTACCAGTCAAGAAAGAGATCTTGGAGTCCTTGTGATAGTTCTCTGAAAACATCCACTCGATGTGCAGCAGCAGTCAAACAAGTGAACAGAATGTTAGGAACCATTAGGAAAGAGATAGATAAGACAGAAAATATCATATTGCCTCTATATAAATCCATTGTACGCCCACACCTTGAATGCTGCATGCAGATCTGGTTGCCTCATCTCAAAAAAGATATATTTAGAATGGGAAAAGATACAGAGCAGGGCAACAACAGTTAGGGGTGTGGAACAGCTTCCATATGAGGAGATATTTAAAAGACTGAGATTTTTTCAGCTTGGAAAAATATAAAATCAGGTCATGATTTTATAGACTAGTGTGGATAAAGTAAATAAGGAAGTGTTATTTACTCCTTCTCATAACACACGAACTAGGGGTCACCAAATGAAATGAATAGGCAGCAGGTTTAAAACAAACAAAAGGAAGTATTTCTTCACACAATGCACAGTCAACCTATGGAACTCATTGCCAGGAGATGCTGTGAAGGCCAAAACTATAACAGGGTTCAAAAAAGAACTAGATAAATTCATGGAGAATGGGTCCATCAGTGGCTATTAGCCAGAGTGGCTAGAGATGCAACCCATGCTCTGAGTGTCCCTAGCTTCTGTTTGCCAGAAGCTGGGAGTGGATGACAGGGATGGATCACCTGATTATCTGCTTTGTTCATTCTCTCTGAAGCACGTGGCATTGGCCACTGCCAGAAGACAGGATACTGGGCTAGATGGACCATGAATCTGACCCAGTATGGCTGTTCTTACGTTCTTAGATCTGCATGAGGGCAACCCTAGAGAGTGGGGAAGATCCATTTTTAGTGACGGTTAAGGCTGAGTCTGGGCCACAGACATACAGCTAGTGGAAACAAATGACCCTGCCCAGTGTTTTTCCTCTAATCAATCTATTTTAGCTGAAGTGGTTTATTTTGTGCTTGGGGAGTGTCTGCCTGGGCATTGGCCCTGAGCAGCTGCTGAGAGCCTGGGAGTGTTTAGACAAGGGGACAGACCCATGAAATGTTGAGAGAGATGAGGTTTGCAGAAGCACTGAATGTACTGTAGCGTGCTCCTTGGGCAGAGCTGTGCTAGGGTACTGCTCTGCAAAGTGGGAAATGCTTGGGGAGGGGGAGTACTCAACTCTCTGGCCAGGGGCATTACCCTTCTGGCTCCAAGTTCTCCTACCCCATTTCTTCAGAAAATCCTGTCAAGTGGCGGTTTATGAAGGGAAGCTGTGCAGCCTCCTTCACACTGCAGACCCTGGATGTACTGGCCTCCATGTGCTGTAAGAGCCAATTAGTCAACACCATCCCTGCTGGAGCCCCGGAACACAACCTCTGTAATAGTTTTCCTTCTTCCTTCAGAGCAGCTGGGAGATCCCACCAAAAGCCCAAAAAAGCTATCTTCACCCCGACGGACATGTCCTGGCTTTGTCTTGAACATGACTTGCTCCGAGTGCATGTGTGGGTTTGATAGTCTCTCTTGTTTTATAACAGGTTTGAACGGTACCGATCAGGCCGTTCGGCACAAAGCGCCAGTAATGGAGTAAGTATCCAGTTCACCTTCTGCAGTCGTGGTGCACTCAGGAGACTTCTGCCAAACACACGCTGAGTGTCTGCGTTGTAACGCTGGCTATGGTGAAGAACGTTTCCATGACTGATTGGTATTGAATGTACAAAATGAGGTGAAAGATAGAGGCCTTGCGGGGCTCAGCTCTTACCATTACACGGCTCCAAAGCTAAAGGGGATGAGGAAACAGAAGGCAACTTAACTAATTCTGAGGTGATAGGGGAGACGTGAGAGATTTTTCAAGGCTGTGTTGGATGAGCTAATACCATAAAAGCAAGCCAGATGTTGAGCCTATACTGCTTTTTGGACAGTGACCCAGCCAAACAAATATCTTTTCTGTCTACTTGTGTTGCATTCATAGTCTAAAAGCCTAATTAAAATACTCCCATTTGCAACAGCTTTCCACAGAGGGCTTTTTTAGGAAGCATCCATCATTCTCATTTTATTTTGTCTCTGTTATAATTGCTCGGCAGGAAGTATAACCTACCATCTTGACTGTCCCAACAGGTGCTGAGTGAAGTGACGGAGGATAATTTAATAGATCTGGGCCCTGGTTCCCCAGCTGTCGTGAGCCCAATGGTGGGGAGCACAGCACCTCCAACTTCACTTTCCTCGCAACTTGCAGGGCTTGGTAAGTACCTAGTTTTTAAAGGGCAGATTAGCATGGAACAGTAGCTGCATGTGACTTGTCCCGAGCCACTCCGTGGTGAGCCTGCATTTGGGTCACTGGGTTAACAAGTGCCTGTGTTTTGTTTGAGGTAGTAGTTACTGGTAACAGCCTGGTGACATTAAGAAGAGCTGTGGGTAAAAAGCATTGTCCAGCAGTTAGAACAGTGGAAAAGGAGATGGATATGGGCTTTAGTCTGTCACCGATTCACTGTGTAACCTTGGGTTATTCGCTTAACCTCTGTGCTTCCATTGTCCTATCTGTAAAGTCAGGATATTACTGATTTACTTGCTCCAAAGGGATTTGAGACTTAGAAGCACTTTTACAAACTTTAATTGAAATCCTCGGATGAATGGTTCTATCCAAGGACAAATCTTGTGTTTTACAATAGATGAAAGGGCTCTTGATCTGGTCATTCCTTTTGACCTCTGCATTGGATTCCCAGCCAGTTTAACAATGGGGAGAAGCACAAGGACTAAGAACTACAGCTGAGAAGACTGGAATCCTTGCGCAAAATAGCTGTCCTCTTCTTTTGTGTCATCTGTGTCAAAACAACAAAACTGGGGGCTGGGAGGAGAGAAGGCAGCTTTATACTACTTAGGAGGTATAGTCTATATCATGGTTCTTGAGTGATGGGAAATCTCTATCCAGGCTACTCAGGGTAAAAATCCAGGCTACTCAGTGCAATATTATGGCTCTCATCTACTTTTCACTGTAACTATCCTATATTGCTGCTGATTTCTTGTGTACCCTAGGTATTCCTGACTGGTCCTCGATCACAGTTCACTATTCTATTGGTCCCTTATTCTCTGTTGTTGTTGTAGACTTGGGCACAAACAGTGTCAGTGGAACACTCAGCTCCCTTCAGCACTGTAACCCTCGAGACGACTTTGACATGTTTGCACAGACAAGAGGCAGTTCCTTGGCTGATCAGCGGAAGAGGTAAGTTGGCATTTGGTTTTAAATGCTCTTTATTCCTAGGGAACAAAATTTGAGGCCTCTTCAGGTCAAAGTGATCTTATAGCTCAAATTACATGGATTTTCATCCTCTGACCTTACTTAACGTAGATTTTCTCCTGCTGGATTTCACTGGATTATTTGGTAGGTGGAGAGGTCGTTTTTATAGGCGAAGGTCCACTGTAGATTGGTTCAGTAATTTCAGGTGCCATCTTGTTTCACCTCTGAATTTCCAAGTCACCTAGAAACTTAGGAATGAAGTTGCTTAAATTCTTTTTCTACACAGTGGGTCTGGGAATTAACCTTCCCCTAAATAACCCTGAAGGTATCTGAATATGAGAGTAAATTTTGGAAGACTAGCAGTGGCTTAGGGTAAGTCTATACTGCAGTTAAAAACCCGTGGCTGGCCCATGCTACCTGCCTTGGGCTCGGGCTGCGATGCTATTTATTTGCAGCATAGACATCTACAGTCAGCATGGAGTGCGGGCTCTAGGATCCTGCAAGGTTGGAGGGTCCCAGAGCTTGGGCTGCAGCCAAACCAGAACGTCTGCACTGCAATTAAGTGGTCCCCGTAGCCTGATCCCTGCGAGCCCAGTTCAGCTGGCCTGGGTCGGCTGCAGGTGTCTAATGGCAGTGTAGACATGCCCTTAGAGTCTTTCACATATAGGTCATGGCTTCAACCTGCACAGGTCTGTAATGACCAATCATGATCACCTGAGCCTGGGAACTGAATTACCATCTCAGCCTTAGGGCTGATTCCTGCTGCTCCAGATCAAGGTATGTTGGCTGGGCAGCATGAAGAAGCTCCCACACTCTACCTAGTCTGTAGAAAACAAGACGTCCGAGGGCTGCACCTTCCCAAGCACTGAATAGGAATGAATTTTTTTAATGAAAAAGGAACCCATGCTCTTATTCTGAGAGCTTTTGATCTCTCTCATGTGAGGCTCATTAGAAGGAGACTGTCAGGTATTTTTGTTTGACGTAACCCTTCTCTAAGGCCCTCCCTGGTTTCCAATTCGAGGAGATACAGGTCGTATCAGAGATTGGAAGCGAGTCCAAGTACCGCAGGAGGAACAGCACCAATATCCTGCAGCGACAGGCACCTTAGAGATGCAGCCAGGCAGCATCCCGTGCACCTTCGTTCCCTTTCTCAGCTGGTAGCTACCCGCTGCAGTCTCTCTCTGCCTGGTTTTCTCAAAAAAAAGATCCTCATCAGGAGAGACCAGGCCTGGAAAATCACAGCTAGGAAGCTACAGCTCAGAGGTCCTGGAGAGCAGGAGGGCTTAAGCAGCCATAAGTACAGATGTCCATGCTGCTCCGGGAGTAATAGAAATATATTTGATCAGTTTTAGCATTTTAATTCAGAGTTGCTAAATTAGCACTAAGGGTGACTGAATTCACACTGGGGTGCTAAGCCTGGGGTAAACATATCATAGTGGGATCCAGATCCAGATCCCTTACAGGGTTTCCGTTATGCCTGTTGTACTAAATGAAACGTGAAACTGCTCTTCTCAGCCTGCAACTCCATCTCCATCATATGGGAAATAATGGAGCAAAGAGCACACGGAAATCCATCATTTCAGAAGGGAGGATTATTGTACCTTCATTAGCTCTTATGCTGTTAAAAGAGAGTGAAGCAACTCCCTAGAGACTTGGCTGTAGCTTATTCTGCTGCAGAAGCAAGGCAGAGAGGTGCCACAAGGACTCCTCATTGTTAAGGCAGAGACTGTGGATCGCTGTCCTCAGGCTGGTAGAAGCAGGCATGCCAGGGAGAGGTGTTTCACCAAGTCAGGCATGTAGCACCACCCAGTGGCTAATTTACAGGTAGGTGTTGGTATCTGCTTGAGAGAGCTGATTACTAGCCCTTGTGCATGAAGGAGAAGTGATGGTAGTGTTCCCTTAGCTAAATAACTATGGTTATGATCCTTTTCAATAGCAATTTTGCATATCTTTTTAAATACCCAGTAAACAGGCAGCAGATCTGGTGAACCGAGCTAGTATGTTTTCCTGCATCTTTGTTTCCTTATACCACTTGTTGATTACTGTGGCCACCTCCATCATGGCCTTCTCCATAACTGGTAGGACCTTCTTCCCTACCCGTTATCTGATGAAGTCATATCTCCCCTTACCTCCACTGGCTCCCCCTTCACCACATCATGTTCATGTTTCTTGTCACCACCTTTTAAGGCTTCACAGAAACTTAACTGGTCTCTATCCAGTCCCAGCTTTTTGCGTCCCCCGCTCTACCATTGATGACAGCTTCCAAGCCCCATGTGCCTGCTTCTTCCCTATCATCTTCATGCATTCTTCTGCACTGTCCTCTGCATTTGGAATGCCCTTTCTGAGCAGACCTCCAAAGCCACCTGAAGGCTCACTTCTACCATGATAACTGTAAGAAACTTAACGATTTAAATCTCATTCTGTCTAAAAAAAACAAACAAACAAACCAAACCCCAACCACCTGTTTGCTCCATTGTGCTATGTCCTAGCCTTCAGTGAGTAACTTGGTAATCATATTTGATGCCTGTCCTGCCTCCTCGCCCGCTCCCTACTCTGTCTCTTACACATCCCATGTCGCATCATATCTGAAATCTATTTGTAATCACCTCGGGTCAGAGAATGTTTTTTTTATCTGTACTGAGAGGCTCCTACTGCACTCATAAAAATGATAAAAATTGGAAAATGTTCAGCGGAGGGCATCAAAAATGATTAGGGGACTGGAACACATGACTTATGAGGAGAGGCTGAGGGAACTGGGATTGTTTAGTCTGCGGAAGAGAAGAATGAGGGGGGATTTGATAGCTGCTTTCAACTACCTGAAAGGGGGTTCCAAAGAGGACGGATCTAGACTGTTCTCAATGGTAGCAGATGACAGAAGAAGAAGCAATGGTCTCAAGTTGCAGTGGGGGAGGTTTAGGTTGGATATTAGGAAAAACTTTTTCGCTAGGAGGGTGGTGAAACACTGGAATGCATTACCTAGGGAGGTGGTGGAATCTCCTTCCTGAGAAGTTTTTAAGGTCAGGCTTGACAAAGCCCTGGCTGGGATGATTTAGTTGGGGATTGGCCCTGCTTTGAGCAGGGGGTTGGACTAGATGACCTCCTGAGGTCCCTTCCAACCCTGATATTCTATGATTCTATATGCTCCATGCTAGTCTCAAATAAAACAAGTGGCAGACTAGTAGATTAGTGCTTAATGCATTTTGTTCTGGCATTCGGGGGCGGCTGGATTTGCATCAGTTCTGTTTGTTCCTTTGTTTCAGCGTGACGTATGAGGATCCGCAGGCTGTCAAAGGACTGGCATCTGCTCTGGACGTTCGAAAACAGAACACAGGAGGGGTACGTCATTGCTCTGAATTACTGCCCTCTGAAACAAGCACTCCAGCACAAAGCTGGGAGCGTGACATGCAATGCTGCATCTGTGTCTGAGTTTAACATTTCATTTGGTATCCCACCAATGATTCAGAAGGTAGCATTGTCCATTGCATTTAGTGTGGATGCCAGTGAGGGCCATGTTGAAATAAATATCAAAAGAACACGTACTTGCTTGGTAACCATTCCTAAAGAGAATTGCTACTTAATGTATTCAGTATAAATAACATCACAAAAACACAGTGGGTGAATGCTTCTGTAATCTTGCAGTCTGCCTGGATGTCTAGCTTTCTGGGAGGAGCCACTGCAGAACTGAGTGGGTAACCTTCTATGAACGCTGATTAATTCTTGTCTATGAAAGTTAATATAGTTGTTCAGAAAGAACACAATCTGTCTGAAGTTATAACAAACTAGATATTAGTGACCTAGAGTGAGAGCTCACACTGGGGATGCCTTTAACTCCTTTGGCCAGCCCCATCTAGGGATGTGAGCTGAATAAAGAGCAAGTGAAATTCCCAGATATACCCCCAACCCCCTTTTAGCACTTTGTACACTCATGGTTGTCACTATAAGTCTAGTGATGGCTGAAGGAGTTCAGAGCCCCCAACCTGGCTCTGTATTGACCACTAGGGAGCATGGAAGAGCCAACGCAGCACACATCCTTCTCCATCAGCTGAGTTGCATCTTCCCATCCCATGTTGATCCCCTCTCGATTCTCTCACATGCTGGGAGGTTGCAATATATTCTGAGGCATCTGGCCAGCCCAGCAAACTTTCACTCTGAGCCAGTGAGAAATGGGAATGAATGTTTGTGGGTGAGTCAGACCAGGTGTGCCCAGCTGCTTGCTGCCACTTAGACTGTTGAGAACAGAATCTTTAATCCCTTCTTTGTTGCTGGCTCACTTTGGAATTACCAGTGGTGAGTGTTGATGTGAGACACAAGCCCTTGGCAATGGAGGCTCTATTCCGCTGGTGGCTAAGGGGTTGTTATCCTTATTCATTAGCGGTCTTGTTCTTATTTTATACCTGCTTCGGGCACTGCCGCCACCTGTCACTCACACCAGCATAGATGTTACTCTGCCTGAAGGGTTGTCAGTTCAAAGGACCATGTCTTGAACTAATCTGACTGGTCAAAGTATTTGAAAGCAGTCGCTCTTCTGGACTATTGAATTTGGGCTGTGGGATATCATTACAGCTCAGATCTTCACCCTCTTTTCAAAGGTCCTGATGGCTGTACCGCATAGTCCAAAATAGCCCATTTTATGATTGGTTAACATAAGCACTGCTTGTCTGGGAGGAAGCGTAAACCCCGAATAGCTAGGAGACAAAATACACTTACAAAATGATGCAAGGCTGTTGGGCACTGCTGGTTAGTGGTGATAAAAATGCTAATAACGTCCGAAAGTTATCAACCCCTGTTAGTGTAGTAGGAGTAAAGTTGTTGGTAGCTTCTTGTTCTCTCTAAACTAGTGTGTGGTTTAATTAGGACAAGGCTTAACTGAAGGATATTTCGCTTGTAGGTAATCCAGGGAGGGGCCAAAGTCTATTACAGCACATTCTTCTCGGACTTCTCATTTTAATGAGGTTCTCTTATGTTAAAGTTCTTCTCACCAAACTGAAGTAGTGCAGTTGTTCTCAAACGGTGTGCATGGAGAGATGGCTGGTCGTAGGCAGTTGACTATCCTTGCTTCCAGCTGTTAAATCACATGACGACAGCTAAAAATATATTACTTTTACCCTTCCATGTTGGGAACTGCTGTAGTTGCCAGCGAGATGTTACAGGATGGCAACTAGGAAGGGCAGTGCCCATGAGATAACCTTTGTTATCCACACTGTGGAGAAGTTGAGAAGATTGAGTGATTCCACCTCGTGATACGTTCCCCAGCCAGACTCCTGAAATGAGATGTTATGGTTTTGGTCCCCTTAAACTGTGAAGCCCTTAAAGATGTGCAGTTTGAAAGGCGCCAAACTATTTCATCCAGTTATGGTTATTTGCTCTCCCCCGGCCACTATCATCATGTCCTTTGTAAGGCTGGCGTTACCAGGCTAAGCCTGGACAGTCTCTCTGGAGACCAAGAAAAACTGGAGGAAAAATAATGTTTGCTGTGAATTATCATCTCCAGAAAGGGAAGTTCCAGAATGGCTTAAATGTAGGGATTTTTGTGAGGCCCGACAGATTTCAGAGTCACCTAGTCCACATTCTGACGACTTTTAAGAAAAATAGAAACGTCAGCCTCACTTAGAAATTGTGAGCTCTGTAACCTGCCCAAAGGAAGCCAAGAGGCCAGGACTCCTGTTTCTGATGTACAGATCGCACAGAAGGGAGACAGAAACAGGTGGTGTCTTTAAGTGGGTATTACCAGAAAGGACCCTATGCGTAGTATATGCTTCTGATTTACTGCTGTTGTATTATTACCTTATCACGGGTGTTGCTGTGGTTTCTTTCTTGATGGGCATTTCTGCTCTCAACGCAGAGGAGAGGTAAAGGTGGGAGCTCAGACATGGAGCCCATAGACAAGTGGCTAATTACGCAAGGAATGGTGAGGATTTCACCAATTACAATGAACCCTGTTCCCCATTCCCGTTCCTTTTGTAGAATAACCATCCTGTGTTTACCTCTCACCCAACCTGCTGAACTATCACAAATCAGACAGTACAAGGATTTTATTCCGCACCTGTATAATTGTCTAGGGGATGGGGAAAGTTTAATATTCAGGGGGTAGGTCTCCAAAAATTCCTTTTTATATTGCCCAGAGACTTGCAGCCCCGTAAGTCTCTTGTTGGCATCAGTTGTAGCAGTTTCTACTGTCCATCTTTACCTTCGAAACAGGGCTGGGGATCCTGTTAGTTCCTTTTACTGTCTCGATTTATATATGCAGTATCCACTTTTCAAGCATAAACACAAGCTCCATGTATTTAATTCAGGGATGGGTCATTTTCTCGGCTCCTTTTCGAACTCCTTTAATAGCAGCCAACTCCTGCGGCACTTAACTCCATGGCGAGCCCAGCACATGAAGTTTGCAGGATCAAACCTAGTTGGATTGAGTAGCATAGGAGAAGGGTACTTCTCTGTGTCTTTCTCTTTTTCTGCTTATTCTAAAACAAGGGAACCTGAGTGTGCTAGCTGGATTGACATGTTCCATTGGCACTGGCAAATGTCCCATTTAAGGAATATTTCCTGCATTAAGGCTTTCAGGATTGGACTTTATTGGGAGGACCTGGTGCAGGGTTTCCAACTCTGGCAGTTTTATTGTGAGTCTCATGATACTGGTGTTTTACTTACAGCATCAGGTCCTGGAGACAGCTGAGCACATGAGAATCTCAGCATGCCTTTAAATAACAGTTCTGTGCTCTGATGCTTATGATGAAAAGTTTGAAAGTGTGACCTGAGTGTACCTTTAAAGGCTCAGAAACCAGAGGAAAATAAAGAGAACGCAACAATTGTTTTAAAATAACTCATTTTTAAGTCAGTCTCGATTCAGGGGAGGGAGGAGCTGACTCATGTTTTAATGTTTGAGGTTTCAATACTGTGGTGACCTGCTTTCAAGTATAACCACACACATCTTTAGGAGGAGTGGTCAAAGTCCTGACATGAGACTTATTGCGGGTTTGTAGGGGTGTGTGTGGCTTAGATTTTTTGAAGGGGCGGGAAGGGGATTTTTTTGGAAGCGGGCTGAGGCTTTTTACTATTAAACTTAAGAGCTGAGACTATCGAAAGAGCTTACAGGGACTGGGTATGCAATTCCTACTGAAATTCAATGGGGCACCCAACTCCTGGAGGGGACTTTTGAAGATCCCAGCCTAAAGGGGACATGTTGAGAAAAAAATTAAGATCGGGAAAGTAAAGGGTATATGGCATCAGAACACATCCCTGAAATGAAACTGATGGATCCTAAATCGAAAAGTATAACACAAGCCCAGGTTTTTAAGCGAGGTGTGTGAAACTGCACGTCACCAACAACATGCATGCCAGTGCCCAGTGGAGACACAGCAATTGAGTATTTGGGCATGTACATAGCCAGTAAGGTGCCTGACTTGGTCACATTCATTTGCAAATGCCTGAGTGCGTGCTGGGTGCTCTGCATGTGTCATGGGCACACTGTGTGCCCAATTGTATGCACCTAACTTTGAAATGGAACTCTGGTTCCCAGTGTTTCAGACCCACAATTACTAATATAAGCTCGAAAGAGCCGGAAAAGGAATGGCACCTGCTTCTCCGCTGATGCCTTTGGATGCAGTTCCCTGTGACGCTGGCTGGTGTGTGGAGCTGTAGCAGCCACTGATGATCTATTCCATTTTGTTAGAGGCTCATCCATTATGAATAATCCTGTGATTGAGTTAGTTCCCCGTGTTTGCTTTTCCACTGTTTACAAGTGCAGGGAAGCATGAAATTGGTGCCCCTGCTGTTCACTCCATTCAGGCCACTGCCTTATTGAAAAACCAAACACAATATCTGCTTATTGGCTTGTGGTTATTCGGCCTGGAAAAAAGGATACTGCAGCATTCATGGAGGCATACAGATTTTGGGGGGGATCTGGCTGCCCTAGTATGAACTAGGTGCCAGTTTCTGCCCTCACAAGGTGCTCACCCTTGTTCGTATTATATCCCTAAAATAAAACAGGACTAATCATTAACTCAGTTTCTCTCAACCGGCTGTAGTTCTTAACCATATTTATTAATCCCACTTGGTAGTATTTACAGTGTAAATGGAATAATTAGCATCCTAGTCCTGAACTACTGGGTGTTCAAATTCTTTGCAAACTTTTTGTACTGTTGAGATGTGGAAAAGAGGGATGATATTGACATACCTCTCAACTGTGTCTCTACAACGTTAGGGATGTTAAAGGGGAGGGTTTTTGCCTTTTTAAAAAGCAGCCAGAGCATCATTTAAACTTTTTCATAAACCGGCACTTGACTTCTTTCCAAACTGTGACAGCCTTAATTTAGGTTTAGTTCCTTCCTCTCTCTCTCTCTCTCTCTCTGTCTCCCACTCCCTTTGTGCCACCCCCCACACCGTACCCGCATGCATAAGGAATTCACTCTAGGACTCTGTGCACGCTGTTCTAGTGAACTTGGCACTATTTTCTCCTGCTTATGGTGCTAGCCCATTGGGAGCACCAAGCAGGAATATTTGGGGGGGGGGGCTGCCCCACACAACAACACTAATAATTAATAGGGGCCCACCTTGAGCTGCATGGGGCCCTAAGCATTTGCTGGGTCTGCTTATGCCTACCACGAGCTCTGACTGAAGGTAGGGCCACAGTACTTTAGTGCACGTATTCCAGTTTCTCTCTCCTAGATTGGGACAGCTGCCAAAGTGTAATGAAGATATTGGTTTGTCTAAGTTATCTACATGCTACCTAGTAGCATGCCAGCTAGGTGCCTGTTGCATAAGTCAAAAGCTTACATCTCGTAAACCACCCACTCTACTTTAAAATTCAAAACCACCACTGTTGCCAGCAGGTCAGTGGCCCAATTGTTTAAAAAAACAAACCAGAATTCACCAAAAGCTAAAACAAACTGCTCTCCGCTGCACGTCCTAAAAGACACCAAGCTGGCAGGGGAAAGGGCAGGTTTCTCTCAATAATTAAGATACTTTGATATACTACCTTTATTGTTGGGCACTAACAAATTGGAACGCCACCACATCTGCCTGGGAGAAAGGAAGATTTGGGACTCAAATGTAACAGTGGCCTGTGTGACATGGGACAATTGAGAGGTACATCCTCTTCCCAGAGATAAAATCCTCTTTCCCTGGAGCCTGGTCTGCTCTTCCTTGTGCCATACATAAGCTAGGGAAATACACTTTTGGTGAAAATAGCTTCAAATGTGCCCAGATGAACTCTCTCAGCCAAAGTTTTTGGATATCTTTTGGAGATCTTTATTTCCCTTAGTGGCAGGATCCCTCTTCCCACCCTCAATACACCAGGGCCAGTTGAGTCACTTCCTTCTGAAGACAATGTCAAGCTCATTGTCTGTCATTTCACTTTCACTTTTCCAGGGATTCTGTAAAGTGCTTCGTACAATGTTCTGAAAAGGCTAATTCCCTGTACCCATGATGGCTTCAACTGCCTGGGCTTGCCCGACCCATAAGATGTTGCATCTTATTTACAATGTCTCAGGCACAACAAGCTGTGTTAGTGAACATATTGTACATGAGTTAAATCCTCCACTGCAGTAAACACACGCAGTTACAAGTTGCAGACAATCAAGTAGCTAATTAAATTGTTTAAAATTAGGGTACGCTTTAGCTGCATGAGGGTCACTGCAGCCTTAAAAAGACAAGATTGAAGGATTCCTCTGAAATAGGTGTCTTCACACGTGCCTTAGAGCTCTACTGCTCCCATAATATATCCTATGAAGAATTTTTGATCGCCAAGCAAGGGAAGAAATGAATAGCAGCCAAGCAACTATTGGTGTCAGTTGTATTAAATATCCAGAAAGGAATAGAATTAGCTAAACCAGTACAAGGCTGTAGTCTAACGACAAGTAGCATGAACCTTGTTGGACAGACATTCTAAGAGCATTACTGAGTTCAGTACTGAGTTCAGAGTCTCGAGGTGTCATTTCATACCTGTTTCTTTTCCAGTGGGATCCTATTGAGTAGAAACATAATTTGTGTTATTAACAACATCGCAGGGCCTTTTTAAGGGTAGAATATTGGATGTTATCAGCACTAAGGAAATGGTTTGGCAATACTTTTTTGGTGGGGTCTTTATTGCTGATGAAACCACAAACAAAAACTGCCTTCAAATAATGGTGTCTAACTTTAATTCCAAGTTTCCTTGGATTTTATGGGTTGAAGATTCATCCTCTGTTCTCTTATCCCTCCTTTCTCATCTTTCCCGATTGGACATTTGGACAATAATATGGACAAATGATCTCATTAATTTTGGAAAAACCCTATGAAATCACAAAGAAATCTTAACAATCCATCCTTAGTTTTTGAACTGAAGTCTATTCTTAATGTTGCGTGAATGTTTTATAGGTTAATTCCCATTTTCTGTTTGTGTATAGACTTTTGAAAAAAATGAATTGCAATAGCTTTATAAATTACCCTCCTTTAAAACAAAACATCATAGGTGCCACATAAATACATAAGAGAGACAGCAGTTTAAAACTCCTATGATGTTTTTTAAATTGCTGCTGGCTGAATAATTGCACAGCTGGGGCTCGTGTCTGAAGTCAGTAATCTCCAAAGCTATTAAACCAACTAGTCAGCTCTGCAAGACACAACTTGTTCGTGGAGGCTAGCAAGTCAAAAACTGTCTCCAGAATCTATCCTCCTGTTAATGGCCATTTTTGCAAGTTCTCAGCAACTTGGAACCACTGCCTTCAGCATCTTACATGCATGATCCAGTTTATCCTTGCAAATTAAAAATGGAGACTTGTCCTGCACAGAAATCTGGCCTGTTCCAATCTAAACTGCAAGTGTTCCTGTGGTGTTCAGGATCTCCATATCATTACTGTCAGTTACTGGGCAAACTGCATCTCTGCCTCCTCCTGGTTCTGTCAAGTGCACCCTGGCCTCAACCCTCTAGCCATCATCACCTGTCTCTGCGTAGAATCACATGATTCTCCCACTCTCAGACTGGGCCTATCTTACCAGATGTTTTACCATCATCCACACAGGGATCCTGGTAGGACTAACTTCCCTGAGCCTCTTCCATGGAGCTTTGCTCTGTCACCTTGTCCCCCCCGTCAGAGCTTCTCAGAGCTTCGTGACCTCTTCCTGGACAGCCCCTGGCAACTCACCCCCCCTTCTTTTCCTCCAAAGGCTTTAACTGTTTAGTGTTTAGTCTCTCTGCCTGAGAAAACAGCTGTGTCGCTTCGGCTTACAGCCTGCAAGCATGCCATTGTCTTCCAAGCGTGTGCTGGGGTGTCCTTATTTAGGTCTATTGTGTTACTTTCCTCTTTGCTCTTTCCACAGCCCCTCGGTTAAGTTAGATCCATACAGTCCTACAGGAACTTCTAAGAGCCCAGTGTACAAGAACTTTCCCTCGCTGACCAATCATGCTCACCATTAATACAACAGTTACATCCAAGTATCCATAACATTATTACAGATCAGATCTATGTCCATAACCATTACAAAGCAGGAAATGGTGGTTTTTATCATAATGTGTTTGAATAAGTAGGAAGAGAGCCAGAAACAATGAAAAGAGTCCTCTTTAGGCAAACTACCTTAGCAAGGTTCAGGGAGAATCGCCTGTGGAAGAAATATTTCGGTATAATTACTTTTGATTCTGAAGTTTATCCTGAATGTGGTCATTCTGGGTTACTTTCTCTCTGGAAGGACTGATCAAATTGGCTTCATTTGCCTGTGGGAAGACTGCAGTATTTGAACCCCTTTGTTATGTTTGTTACTAATCTTAGACAATGATCAATGTCCATTAAAAACAAAAACAAAAAGCTGGGGGAGGGGGGCAACTGACAAGAATGACCCTCATTTGTCTGACTTCATTGAAACTGAAGTTAGGTATTTCAAAATATAATCCATATCCAATATTCTATCCTCGAAAGTGTTACGTGATCCAGATTAGAGCCATCAGTCCACACTGATGGCTCTAATATGTAATCGGAAAGTTCTCACATCTGGTCACATTCTCCATAATCTTTGTTTTGGTTTTGTTAGCCTCACGGTTCATAATTGACCTTTAAGTGTTTCTTTATTTGCGTGCTATTTGTATTTTGTTGCTTTTTCAGTGCATCTTACAGCTTATTTTGTGGTTTTTTTGTTTTGTTTTTTCCATCTTATTTCTGGCATTTTCCATCATTCTGTGGCCATGATTGTGGATGTATTTTGGTTTTGCCTGCCTTGCTGTATCTCTCGCTGCACTCCATAGATCCCCGTTGCACAGTCCTCTGTCATGGATGACATTGAGGAGTGGCTCAGTACCGACTTGGTGAGACTTGACTTTTTATATTTCGTTTTTCATGTAGGAAGTAGGACTTGTGCATATGCGTAACTTTTAATGCAAGCTATTGTTGCTCCTCCGTGGTTACCCATACGGGGAGGGAATGACACCTTATAAAGCATATATTTGGTTTTTTTCCCCAGGGAAGGAAATAAATAAGTAATGAGCTGCTGTTGTATTTTCACTTCTCCTTTCTCAGTGTCACAGAGGTGGTATAATTGTCAGAAATTTGGATTTAAGGAACCCAATGAGGGAAAGCATTTAAGCACCTGCTGAAGTCCACCTTTATTTAACACAGTATTTAAGCACATGCTTAAGGCCTATTGAAGTCATTGGGATGTAAGCACATAACTTAATTTTAAATCTATGCTCAAGTGCTATGCTGAATAGTTGGACTGCAGAATTGGGGTCTAAGTTCCTTACAGTTAAACAGTAAATCTTACCTGTCTCCGTTTAAACTGGTGTGAAGAAGGGGGAGTTTCTCTGCTGATTTTTACTTTTCCCTATTTTGACAAATGCTTAGTTCAGCCTCCTGTTCCCCAGTTCAAGGGAGCCCAAAGTACGTGACTAGGCCTTGTCACGAAATACTTCAAGGAAGTAACATCAGTACGGCTCAGTTGTTGGACACGGTAGAGCAAGCTATAGCATTATACACTAAGCCCTGGCTATGTGCTCATTAAAAAAAACTTCTGTACAATAGAATGATGTTTACACCTTACATGATGCTTAATCTTCAAAGTGTTAATCTTCCCAAAACCCTGGTAAGGCAGGTGGTATTCCCGTTTTACAGATGGGGAAAGTGAGGCAGAGAAGTTACTCCTCACTTCCAAAGGAGACTAGATTTTGGGGGGTTTAAAATACTTGACAGTGTCATTTTTTTTCATGTGGTAATTATTTGAAAATTATGCCACCTAAGTTGGGATTTATTACAGTTTCCTTATTTAATAATTGTGAATTCTCAAATCCTGGTGAAACACATGCTAGATGTCTGAAGGTAAAAATGTACTAAAATTGTGGCATGTTAACCTTTGCTACTTCTCCTGGACAACACACTAGCTTCCTATCACTTTATTTCAGCCTACCCATCTTATTCTTGTCTACATTCATGGCATCACCTGCTTTACAATCAGCTTTATTTTTTTTCTTCTCAATCATGAATTCTGAATCCAAAATGAACCATCCATTTTATTCAGGAAAAATACAGTCACTAAACATTTCATTGGGGGTTTCTATATCATTTGATTAAGCTTTTAAATAAGATGCACTATTAACGAAAGCCACAGCCATAATGTCCTAAAGGAATTGTAAAGAGATGAGGTGGCATCTCCTTTAGCTATTCAGTTTTGTATCAGGTTATGACTTCTCTTGATAAGAAAAGGTCTGCTGTCTTGGAACTGGAGAAGATGGAGATTACCTGACTGTCACTCAGGTCTAATGGGGAGTGCACTGATAATGGATGTCGCCAATAATCAATAGCACCATCATTTGGACTATTTCTCTTGTTCTGCAACACAGAGAAATACTGGGTCGTTCGTCTGCCTCCTGTCATGAGCACGATGTGACTCATCTAGGTCATCTTGCTCAAATAGTAACTGTGGTTAAGCAAAGGGGCAGAGGCAGTGAATGGTATGGGTTACTTGTAAACATGCTTAGGCTGAAACTGAAAGAGAAGTGAAGTACGTGTTCATACTTGTTTCTTTGTTCCAACTGCAGAAAGGAGAAGAACTGGAAGAAGGCGTGACAAGTGAAGGTAAGCAGAGAAGTCCCTGGCTTTCAGAGCGGTCTCAGTCCAGTGCCTTAGAGTAGAATATCCATATTGCTCTCTTCTGATACAGTCACCCAGCAGAGATCCTCTTCCGATCCACCAAACTCTTGGTAGCTGATGTTCCATAGTGTATCCTTCTGGAGCATCTTCACTGAAATGGGAAGTGGTGGAGAATTTCAGGAGGGATCTTCAAAAAACCCACTTGTTTGTGCTGGTTACCCTGGTAGGGTTCTGTGCTTCACTTCATCTTCACTGTATTTGTGTAGTGCCTCTGTAGCAACATACGAGCCAGTGAACTCTCTAAGCACTTAGAAATGATTGTCCTCTGTTTATTTCAGGATGGGATGTTTCTATTCCCAGTCTCCAGGACTCTTTTCTCTCGCCCACCCTGCCTCCTGGTGGAAGAAACTGAGTTTTCTCTTCCTTTTCATCTCACCACTTTCCCCTTTTAGTTCCAATCTCCCTTCTGCTGACCTAGCTGCCATGTGGCACTTCCCTGGCAGATGGGCGTAACCTTGTATATTTATCCTTCCTGCCTCTAGCAGGAGTGATCAGGCACCTTGAGCAGCTTTTATTAGTTACTTTTAGAAAAACACATTAATCAAGAGCTGTGTTAACATCCCAAGTGAGCATCTTAAAATGAGCTGTTTAAAAGGGTTAAATCATGAACACAGAAAGCTCCTATTTTAGCCTCATTAACAGAAAAAATAATTCTGCAAAAGCAGCCGCGCTGGCTTCGAGGAGCAGGAGAAGGCAGGCAGACAGACAGCAGACAAGAGAGCTATCTTTTAATTTAAAAAAAAACAAAAACCAACGCAGTAGCCATATCCTAGCAGTAAGACATGTTGGGGCATATTCTATTGGCTCTGTGTGGGTAGATGCCATGCTTTCAGGGTGTTAATCCTGATGTAAACAGTGCATCTGATTTCTGAACTTTAACGAGACACCACAGTTAACGTATAGGTTGAGGGGTCAACGAAACATGCCCCGGCATGTCATAGAGCTGTAACGAGCTATGCATTATATAGTGCTCAGAAAAAAACAAGCCCAAGAAAATGCGCTCCAAGTTTCAACTCTTTTTTTCCCCCTCGCTGTGATTTTTCACTTTCCCTGGACGTGCCCCACTTGTACTGTGTGTTCCCAGACTTTGTTCCTGCCCAACATGCCCATACGTGTTGCTCAGAAACCAATCCTGGCACATAGTGTGCCTATGCGCTTTGCTTAGTATGAGTGTGAGAGAGAGCAAAGCTCACTTAAGGGATTCCAAACACCATGAGAATGGTGTGGGAACCTAGAAAATATTGAAAGGTATGACTCAGATACCATCCATTGGAGTGTGGGGAATGGTCATTTCCTCCTCCTTTCCCCACCCACCAGAATAGCACTTGATGGTATTTCTCCCTATGTTCGGGATCGCACCCTTGACTGGCATTTGAGTGTTGATCCACTCGGCTGACTAAACTGTATTACTGTGATGCTTCTTTCTTAGGCCCTCTGTACCCTCGTGAGGAAGTCATATTTGTGCATGTGGCTTGTGTCTATGAACGGTTGGCCCAAGGGATTGACAGTGGGGACAGAGCATGGGTTCTCAACCTAGGGCTCGTAACCCCATATTGACAGCATTCCCCCTCCCATGTAGCAAGGTGGGAGGAGGTCGTTCCAAAGTGGCAAAAATTGAGACCCACTGGTAGAGAGCCTTTCACTTTTGTCAGCGGTTCAAATCTATCCCAGGTTGGATTTGACCGTAAGTTATTACCGTCAGATAGCTGTACCGGGGGCCTTGTGTGAAATGAGTTTGGGTCTCTGTGCTAGGTCTGGTAGTGAATTCTCTGGTGTGGATACCTGTGCTCTGGGAACTGGACTAGCTGCTCACCTTGTTGGCAAGCTCAGCAAAGGGGTAAGAGGTTTTGATGGCCCATGGAGACAACTCTTATCCCTTGCGGGGTCACGGATGGAACACACTGGGGCAGGGGGCAGCATGAGGAAGCTTTCAGTGATACTGCATATGCTCCGCCGGTCCTGTGCACGCCCAGAGAACAGTCAACGTACTGTTAGATTCGTGCAGAGGACGATCCCTGGTTCGACCCTAACTCTGATTCTTCTCAATGTTTTTTGCGTTGCAGAGTTCGACAAATTTTTAGAAGAACGAGCCAAAGCTGCTGAGACACTCCCAAATTTACCTTCTCCTCCGCTGGAGGCCCCCACTCCTCCTACGAATCCTTCAGGCAGGAAGAAGCAGGAACGCTCAGAGGATGCCCTCTTCGCACTGTAAAGATCGCTCTTGGCTACCTTCTCCGTGCTCTGCAGAAGAATGTCTCTGTACAGCCACATTGTCCTTTCACAGTTCTTGGCTAACCATGACCCCCTTGCCATCCTGGTTTCATCAACTGCTTCTCTTGCTTATCTCTAAAACACTCTCTCCCCTCCCCACCCCCCAGCTGACTTTTGTATTAAAGGCCAGCTCTGCTCCTACCAGTCCACAGTTCTCCAGCACTAGCTTAACCTCCCCCCACCCCCATTCCCATCCAAGCTGCATAAGAGCAGCTCTTAATGCCGAAAACTCCTTTAAAAACGCATGAGTATTTCTTTACCTTGTTGATCTGAAAGTGTAGTGAGAGCGGCCTTGCCTTTGATTTACATAGGGACCATCCCCTTCTGCTGGTAGGTGCTTCCGAATAGGCTGGTCTGAGTGTCAATCTGCATGTAATTGCCTGAAATGGAATGGAGATGTATTTTAATTTTAGATACAGATGTCAAGGTATCCGCTTCTAATAGGTTTAGACAGCAAAGAACAACAGCTTTTCCCTTTCAACATGTACTTCACAAGTTAAAATTCTCCTCCTCCCCTCCCCCCATCCCCTAGTACCACATGGCAGTTGCTGTTCTCTACTCTGTGGTGCTTCCAGTGTGTAGTCTCATGGGATTTTTTTTCTCTGAGTTGACCTAAGCTTGCTCTGATTTGAAAGCAATTTGTTAGTTTTGTCCAGCAGTGCCGTGAATAGGAGAATGCTGGGATAAATGGCTATTGTAACACTAGAGATCATATGAAGTATTTCACTCACTGAGGGAGCTTTTCCCCTATAGTGTTTTGTCTAGAATGTGTGCCTTTTTAAACCGGTTACATTTCTCCCTAGCTTGAGAATACTTCTCCAGTCATTAGCTCTGATGCTAAGCAGGCTCTGCCTTCATCTCCTCAACTGTTTGAATGACATCCATGCGAATGGATGGGACTGAAAAACGTAATGGGTGAGACTGGCCACACTGGAGGGGCATGTTTGCTGAATGTCCCTGGTATGCCCTCTAGCACTGGAGGGGTAAAAACAGAAATGTTGTTAAGAGGTAGGTCATCAGAAAAAGGGGCCAGAGCTGTGATTGCTTGTAGGAGACTTCCTAGGCAAATGGATACGGGGGGAAAGATTTTAACCGGCACTTAGGCTGTGGAGATGCAGCTCTTTATTTTCCTGCTGGAAGGTTTGGGCTCAAACACTGGCTGGCTGCGGTCGTATTGTATGTCATGTGAAATAGATGTGGAGTGCCCTTTGCAGTCTCTGCCTCCTTACAACCACCTAGTGCTAAGAGGCGACTGCCCCCACCCCTTTTGCCTGTATGCTTGGATTCTGTTCCCTTTGCTTGTCAGAGGAATAAACTAACAATGCTGTCCTCCTGAAGCACTGGCAGCCCAGGGACCGGCATTTCCAGTATAGTCCTAAGCTGCTCTCCCTCACGCCCGCCCCCTCTCTCATACCCTGGACAGATTCCCGTGTAGCAAGCCAGTGGAGCAAGATGGAACAATAGAGGTGAGAGTCCATACACTTCACAGCCGAGGTAACAGAAGTGCTGTTTCTAGAACGCTGTTTCTCCCAACTCACTAGTCGTCGTTCCTGAGGGCATGAGAATTTTTAGGCGGTGAACTGCTTCATTTTGATTCCGCATGGCATGACTTCCCTGCGTACTGCTATGTGAGCACCACTTTCACCAGCTTTAGACCAATAAAACTTCTCTCCCCTGTGCCAGCTCCCTGAACGTTTATCTGAATTGGTTTTCTTCTGGTCAGTCTCCATTAGCCTGCATGTGTAGGGTACTTCAGGGTTTGGCTAGGCCGTGATATAGCGTGGTCCGTCCCCTAATGGCCCACTGCAGCGTGTTAGTCTTAGAGAGACAACCCCGAAGCAGAATTGTCCATGTTGACTCTAAACAAATGTAGCTTGCCACTAGGGGCAGACCTCGGGACCTTAGAGCATCAGTTATAGAGGGGAGGGGGAAGTGCCATCTCAGCCTGCGTTTGTTAGGATCTCTGAAACAGGCCAGCTGGGGACGGGGCTGTTCAACAGTGAGTCTTGGAAGAGGAGCAAAGCAGGAAGTTGCAAGAGAATTGTTGGGGGGGGCGGGTGAGGGGATTGAGAGCGGGGTTGTCAGTGATGGCAGCTGAAGGAATGTGACTTGTAAGTCTTGTTGGATAGAAGGCCAGGCAACATGTGATTGGTGAATAGGCTGCCGAGAAGGACTATACCAGCTTGCTCAAAGACTTTGGGGGAGTGTGCGGTATGATCTCCAGTCATCCAAACATGCGTGGTTTCCTGCCCTTTCATTCTCCAGCTGCCGCCTCGGCCCTCCCTTGCCCCAGGCAGCCCTCTCTTCCACTCCCCCTTTTTCTCTCTGCCCCTCTCCTTCCATTGCTTCACTCACCCTTGGTTCATTCCTCTTCGTTTAGGGGCTGAGATTGTCCTTCCAAACCCCTGCACTGGTCTAATGTTCCTTCCCTGCTTGGATGTGCCTGTTCTCAGCCAGCCCTGTGCTGTGGAGAATGTACTGCCTGCCTGCGAGTGGATTCAAAGCTGGTGCCAGGACATGGAGATGGCTTGATTGAAGCAGGGGGAATGAAACCACCCTTTGCCTCTTCTCTGCCACCCCACCCCCAGCTTAAATTCTGTGGCCTGGGGGCAGCTGTGAGGGCTAGATGTGCTGTGCTCAGGTAGAAATCTGGGTCTTATACAGAACTTGAGTTACCTGAGGAGGGGAGGACCAATGGGATGGGATCACTGTGGGGCTTGGAGACAAGCTTGGCATCATGTGATATTGCCATTGGAGATCTCCTGTGGAGTCCTCTTCCCCTAGAGAAAGACAGGTAATCTGCCTGTAGTTGTCCCTGACCTGCAGGGAAAGAAGGGGTTAAACCCCCTCTCCTCTCTACCATGCATAAACTAGAGTTGCTTCCTGGGAAAGAGACTGGTCCCTTGGGCAAGATCTTGTAGAGCTGCTACTTGGCTGACTGCAGTCTCTGATAGGGGAAAAAATAAAATGGAACGAAACCAGTGAGGCTGAGTGGAAATATGCTGCTGGTTGCTGATTTTCAAAGGGTCTCTGAGCTGTGCTTCTAACCTTACGAACCTCAGTCTCTGTGCATTCCCCTTTACCATCTGGTATGATCAGGGAGGCAGACATGACATTGGTTTCAAAGGGTAGCAGGTATTGTAAGCGAACGTCCGTTAGCTAATGGAGCGGGCTAGACATTAGCTAGGAAAACACCCCACCTTGGGAGAAATGAGCGCACATGCTAGAGGAGATTGCGGCTAGTGAGTTCCGTTAACTTGTCGTCATGCTCAGTCTTGCTTCTGGTCGGACCTTTGATAGATTATTTATTTAAGAACCACCAGTTCTCTTGTGCACATTCACCCCCCACCCCCTAAGGAGCCCTGCTATCCAGGCAGGTCAGATCTGGAGCCTAAAACACTGGGGCCCAGCTCAGCGTGCTGAGCACTCATGAGGGCTGTAGAAGTCAAAAGGAGCTGCGAGAGCCCAGAACGTTAGCCCGTGGCCTCCGTTGTAAACGTCGGAGCTACTGCTGGAGTTTTCTACTGTCCTGCAACAGGATCTCCCATCTTCTCCGCTCTGTTCCTTATGATTTGCAAGAATGGGAGCAGTTGAATCACTTTGAGGAAAGGAATGGCTTGTTCCATTTGTCCTTGGAAGATGGTTACCTCAATTACTCTTCCACCCCTTTATTGTAAATGCTTCCTCTACACGAGTGAGGAGAGAACTGAGACAGCTCTGGTATTCGTGGGTGAAGGGGAAGGATGTGTCAGAGGAGAGCAACATGGCTCAGCAGAAAGCCTTTCTCATCGTGCTTAAATATCACCGCTACATACTCAGTGACACTAAATTAACGTTGGGATCCGCTGCAAGTTCTAATGATACTTTATTCTAGGTTCTAGTATTTATTTTGTCAAGATATGCTTTCCAATGTGTTTAACATCTTCTGTCAACTTCTTGTGTGCTGGGATGTAAAAAATGAATTTTCTATTGAAATATACCTCTTTTGGGTTTTGGTTTTAAATGTTGTGTGTAGATTTCAGGTGCATCTTGGCGAGTGTAATAGATAACAATGTGCTGTACAGACTTTTGGGATATTTAACACGTATGCAAGGTTCAAGGGAGAAAAAGAGCTCATAAAAACTTAGCGTGGCCTCTCTTAAAGGGCAGAGCATATGTATGCTAAGTGGTCCGAGTTGGACCATCATGTAGCCTCCAATGTCCCTTTCTCCTGCCAACTTTACTAACCCTGTCCCCCAAATTACATTGACCAAATCAGCTCGGGTACCAGCATTTCAGGTTTGTTTTTACACTTCCAGGCAGAGGGAGATTTTAAGGAATGAAACTAGCTGTTTCCACCTTAAATGGAGGCCTTTACCCAGCCAGACCCAGTGAAGAGACTTGGTTTCCTCCAGTGGTGTAGCCGTAGATCTATACTGGGGCTTCCAAATGCCCAGAGGGAGTTAATTACCCAACTTCGCTTGGATTTTAATGGGAGTTGTGCACCTCCTCGACTCCTTTGAAAGCCCCAGACAATGTGACCTGTATCTGCTGCTTCCCATTCGCTACTCTTCCGTTTCCATCAGTTAGGATGGTACATATGGTGGTGGAAGATGGGAGCAGATTTGCTCTCATACCATTTTCTGTCCTTTTTTTTTTTTTTTTTTTTTGGCCTTGTAAATTCTAGGGCCTCCTGTGTTGCTGGGATGTGCTGTGGGGCAGGGTGACGCTGGTTGGCTCCGTCCCTGGGCTGAGCTGATCGAGCTTGGTCTGTATTTGTGTACCTCCTCAGTACCAACCCCAAGGCTTGAGGAGGCTGCCCTGGGGGGAAAAACAAAACTCAGGACAGTTTTTTTCATGGAAATAATGAAGAAGCAATTGGTGGGTAAATCATATTCTACTTGCAGGTAACCCTTCAACTGCCATAGGCATCCTGTTGGCATCTTCCCACTGCCTTTGTCTGACTGGCCCAGTAGAAGAACGCTGGCAGAAAACCCCTTCCTGCATGCATTTATGAGCACTCCGGTGCTGCTACCATCCACTTAATAACCCTCTCCTGTCCCTTTCTAACTGACCCCTGTAGAATCAGTTTGCCCCCGTGTTCACCATTCACAACTTCCCACACATAGCGGGTTGTCCAGATCACAACATGCCCTTTGATATGGGACTTAAAAACCTTTCCACTCTCATCCCTGCCTCACACAAGCAGCTGCAGCAATTGCCCTATCCATCTGGGCTAAGTGCAAGGCTCCGTTTGACTGCGAGCTGGCTTTGGTCCCAACTGGTGATTTACCCACCCATTGCTCCCTCCTTCTGTCTCCACCTAGTCAGTGGCAAGCATATGCCAAATGCACCCCTCCTCCCCTGCTCTTTGTTTTTATAAGTGTGAGTTCTTCCTCATTCTGTAATGTTGTTATGAGCTACCATTAACACTACAAATGTAACCTGTGTAATAGCATCTCTCTGTATATTAAAGCTGTAGGCTTTCCAGATAAAAGTGGATAATATTTATTTACTGAAGATATTGGGTATTTTTTTGTTTGGGGGAGGGGGTAGGGAAAGGGGACTTAACTGTTTAAAAATATTGACTATGTAAAAACAGAAGAAACACACACTAAATGTGTTGCTGTCTTTCTGTAGAAAGCCAGTGCGTTTATGTAAGGATGATCCAAGTGTATTAATCTACTACCATCAATTAACTTACAGAAATCATCTCTCTAGTTTGGCTCTTGCATGTGCAATACTCCAATAAAAGCACTACTAGTGTGAACTGCACCGTGATGGCTTTGAGTCTGTCTTAGATACACCTGGTGTCTTGCTTTCCTTGCCTCCTGCTTTTCCTAACCAGACCGCTGATACGTTTATTTTTGTCCATAGCTACCTTGAGTTGCTCATCAGCCCACCAAGACTCAACATATTTCCAGTGTTCCTTTCACATGATGCTCGTTATACAAAGCTGTCTTTCAGGTATCTTGAGCACTAAGTCTCAGACTTGACCCACTTTTAAAATTGTCCACTGGTGGGAGATGTTCTCTGCCTTTGTGTCGAGGTGGATCTAGTTCCTGTGGGGTGGTGTTGGATTGACAACCTGGAAACCAAAGGTCCCTGTCCACAGAACTGGTATAATATGGACGACAGCAATGCAGGCTTCTCCTCGCTGCCCAGCCCCAACCCTGACCTATAGGAGAGCATGAGTAGAATGGAGATTGAAATCCACACATCCTTGGCATCTGAAACTGACTGCAAATTGGTGCCGGTTGTGTTGGTGACGCCTGTCCACCTAGTTCCAAACAACACACTCATTTCATAGGGACCACTGAATGGTCCTCAGATGATCACTCATTGACAATCTGATTTGGTGACCTAGTAGCAAGAGGGCATTATTAATCCCTCATCCATCTGGTTCCTTTTGGGTGCCGTGGATTCTAGGTAGACCCCTTCTTATAATGAGTCTTCTACCTTGGCACCCCAGAACTCACAATGCAAATGCTATCAGACACCTATTCTGGGCACTTCCCCTGCTGGCTGTGCAGGATCAGTAAACTGCTGAAAAAGCTGGCTCCCTAGAGCTGCATCCACTTGTCCCCTCCTGTGGTGGTTGACAGCATACTCGGCACAGGAGTAAATGGAAGAGTAATTACTTTGCTAGTGTAGCACTAGAAATGCCATGAAATACGTTTTCCAAATGCAAACAGGCAGGGAAAGAGAGTGTGCTGTCTAGTTCCCAAGAGGAAAGTAAAAATAGGAGTGAGTAGTTTAAAAACCACCTGTTTAAAATTGTTTTTAAAAAAAGTATAGCAGTTGCTAACTTGACCTGTTCTGAGAATTAAGCATTTCCCCTCATAATAGCTGCAGGTTGGCTTTCAAAGCAGCTGAATTAAAGTGAAACAGGCAAACTTTGAGATACCGCAAATAAAGCTGAAGTGAAGGTCAGGGCTGATTTTTAACCCACATCCTCCACTAGTTAGATCAAGAGTAGGTGAGTGGTGCTAATAACTGACGCCTTTGACAGTAAGCTTGTCCCTACTAAAGAACTGAAATTTCAATGGTTGTTTCAAACTCCTCCATTCTACTGCCAGAAAGGTGTTTAGAGATGATGTGCCCCACACAGCCAATCCACAGTTGGTCCCATCACCTTTCCAAACATTGCACTGATTTGTTTACTGTTAGTCAGATCATGTGCCTGACTCTTTGTGTGTCAAACGCTCTGGCAGGAGGTGTAGTGTCCAGCTCTATTCAGGACAAAGGGGCACAGCTACTGTTGGCCTGACAGAGCAGAAATGGCATGAAAGGCACGAAGTTGTAAATTCCCCAAACAACAAATGTTGGACTTGCGGTAGCGCGTTTTAGAATGCAAAACAAACGTCAGCAGGACGCTATGCCTGGGTGGAGAATACAGCCCTGTAGGAAGTACAGGGGTCTAACAGGCCTTCGTTCTGAAGACCTGGGTTCGAATCCCTATGTGTATTACAGATGGCCATGAGGGGTGCCATCCTATCCCCATCTGACTGCCTGGCTAAGTCAAGCATGCTTGATAGTCACTGCTCAGGAGAGGCCCACAGTGGGATGCATGGTGGGAGGGAGTTGGGAGTACCCATGGCGACTGAGTCAGTTTGCACTACATATTTTGATTGTGTACATTCTCCTGTAAAAGAAAAGGCACCAAGGCTGTTCTAACAAGGGATACTGTAGATCAGGACTGAGGTGCATTAGCAAAGCCCTCTAGGGAGTTCAGGCCTGCAGCATAGGGATGCTGTATATTGAGGAGCTGTATGGGGGCCCAGAACAGGAATAGCAGGGTCTGCTCCAGGCCAGAAGAGTACCCAGAAGTTACCTACTACAGGACAGGCCCAACAAAGAAAACAACAGAATGCCACTAGCCATCACCTTCAGCCCCCAACTAAAACCTCTCCAACGCATCATCAAGGATCTACAACCTATCCTGAAGGACGACCCATCACTCATACAGATCTTGGGAGACAGGCCAGTCCTTGCTTACAGACCGCCCCCCAACCTGAAGCAAACACTCACCAGCAACCACACAACAAAAACACTAACCCAGGAACCTATCCTTGCAACAAATTCCGTTGCCAACTGTCCACGTATCTATTCAGGGGACACCATCATAGGGCCTAATCGCATCAGCCACACTATCAGAGGCTTGTTCACCTGCACATCTGCCAATGTGATATATGCCATCATGTGCCAGCAGTACCCTTCTGCCATGTACGTTGGTCAAACTGGACAGTGTCTATGTAAAAGAATAAATGGACACAAATCAGACATCAAGAATTATAACATTCAAAAACCAGTCGGAGAACACGTCAATCTCTCTGGTCACTCAATTACAGACCTAAAAGTGGCAATTCTTCAACAAAAAAACTTCAAAAAACAGACTCCAACAAGAGACTGCTGAATTGGAATTAATTTGCAAACTGGACACCATTAACTTAGGCTTGAATAAAGACTGGGAGTGGATGGGTCATTACACAAAGTAAAACTATTTCCCCTTGTTTATTCCCCCACCCCCACCCCCGCTGTTCCTCAGACGTTCTTGTCAACTGCTGGAAATGGCCCACCTCGATTATCACGACAAAAGGTTGGTGTTTTTTCTCTCCTGCTGGTAATAGCTCACCTTACCTGATCGCTCTGGTTACAGTGTGTATGGTGTGACACCCATTGTTTCATGTTCTCTGTGTATATAAAATCTCCCCCCTGTATTTTCCACGGCATGCATCCCATGAAGTGAGCTGTAGCTCACGAAAGCTCGTGCTCAAATAAATTGGTCAGTCCCTAAGGTGCCACAAGTACTCCTGTTCTCAGCCCTGCAGCATCTGAGCGCCTTTGGGTTGTGCATTAAGCCGCGGGACTGACATCTGGCCCCTGGTGTTTGCTCTCACATCCTGCCCCCCCAGTGCCTGGCTTTGGGGGGGGGGGGTTCACCCTTGATGCCCCTCAAAGTGGCTTCTCTAACCCTGTCAGAGCAAGCGCAGGCCTGACCAGCTGGGCCCTGGGCTGGCTTGTTTCCCCAGCCAGCCCACTCAGGAACAGGGAGGGTGACCCTGAGCCACGTGCTGCACCGGCTGCTCCAGCCCCCGGGGGATTGGCATGATGTAATCGCAGCCCGACCGGAGCTGTGAGGCAAAATCACCCCACTCGGGCCGGGCTCGCCCATTGGCTGCTTCCCACTGGTGCTACAGGCGGGGTTTCCCTGCTTCTCAACCAAACTATAGCTGGGGAGTCCCACCCCTGCTTGTAGCCCATTGGGCGCCTGAAACCTGTCCCCTCCTCGTTTAACCCCTTCTTCTCCGCCTGAGCTGGTAATGTTTTACCCTGGACCCTCACAAAGCTTGTGTGGGTCTAAATAACCATGCAATAGGCCGCATCCGCATTAGAAGGGGCTGAGCCCTGCAAGACTCTGCTTCTGCAGAGCAGGGAGCTTTCTGAGGGGCAGGAAAAAATAAATACTTTTCATTGCAATTCCTCATGGTGGAGAACCACTGTATATTTTGTGTGTGGACCAGTAAATGTTCATGACCATCTTTTTTTAAGGCAGAGAACTCCTGGATCTTATTAACACCACCAGATCTTTCCCCTGTGCTGTGTAAGTCAGAGATCAGCCTGAAAAGCTCTTACCATCCCCCGACATACATTTCAGGAACAGTAAGAGATTCTCTGAAAGAGAGCATAAGAACAGCCATACTGGGTCAGCACAATGGTCCATCTGGCCCAGTGTCCTGTATCCAACAGTGGCCACCGCCAGAGCTTCAGGGGGAGTGTACAGAACAGAGAGTTTGGAGTACTCCATCCCTGTCTTCCCCTCCTGTAGTCAGGCTTAGGGTCACTCCAAGCATGGGGTTGCATTGCTGACTATCTTGGCAAGTACCCATCGATGGACCTTTGCCATAAAGACAGGTTTCAGAGTAACAGCCGTGTTAGTCTGTATTCGCAAAAAGAAAAGGAGTACTTGTGGCTTATGCTCAAATAAATTGGTTAGTCTCTAATGTGCCACAAGTACTCCTTTTCTCTTTGCCATAAACTCATCTAGTTTTGGCCTTCCCAACATCCCATGGCAATGAGTTCCACAGGTTGTGAAGTATGTGGAAAAGTACTTACTTTAGTTTGTATTAAACCTGCTGCTTATTAATTTCCTTGGGTGACAACTGTTTTTTGTATTGTGGGAAAGGATACATAACTTTTTTCCCCACACCATTCATGCTTTTACAGACCTCCATCACGTCTACCGCCCTTCACTGTCTCGTCTAAGCTTACAACCCTCATTTTCTTAGCCTCTCCTCATATGGAAGTGGTTCCATACCCTTGATCATCAGAGAAGTGAAAAGCTATTACGTGATGCTCACTACTGTGCTTTTTGCCCAAGGGGCTGAAGCAGAGGAATTAGTGTGGTCTAGACTTTAGAGCAGAGAGGTGAATTGGAACTCCTGGGTTCTATTCTCATCTCTGCCACGGACCTTTGGTAAATCCTCTAACCGCTCTGTGCTTCAGAGTCAAGCCTCTGCTGAAAGGTGCTGTAGAAATAAAGGGTATTCAGTGAGCTACATCCATTTCAGTGAGCTACATCCATTCTTTGGCAGGAGTACATCATGTATTGCTTGTGTTTAAAACATGGAACTAACTGAAAGATACTGTCTGGATTGGAGACAGGCCCACACCTGCAAGTTTCTATCTCTGCGCATTAATATCATTAGTTTACCGCTAGCTTTAGACAGTATTCGAGGGCTAGGAGCACCAGCCTGGCTGCTCATTACCAACAGGGAGTGAGTGTGCATGGAGGGATGCGAGCTAGTTACCCGTCTTTCAGAGGCAGGTGGCTGTTCTTGGACACTTTTCACTGAATGACTGATGGTTTGTTTCATAACTGGGAACAATGGCCCTGCCTGAAAGATACTTCTGAATTCCTTTGCCATGGTTTTGGGTGAAAGCATCTGTTATGTACAGGAAGGTCAGCCTGATTATGTGAGCCATATCCAATAGCAGCAATGAGGTAAGTCACAGAATAGTAAACACTACCTGATTTCATTCCAGTCATTGAAATAGGCAGAGACTTGTGACACGTGCCTATGAAAAACCTTTCCAGTTCTGCCACCCCCAGACCTTCCTGCAAGGCATGGTGTGAATGCCTAGAGCCCTGCACAGATACAAAATGTGTATCCGCATCCAATCTGCAACCAAGATGTGCAGGTATCTGTGGATTTGCAGGGCTCTAGATATAAAATTTGGATCTGGATCGATCTGCAAACATAGTCCACAGGCATCTGCAGATATAAAGCGGACATCAGTAGATTGGCAGGGCTCTCTGTCACCGACCTGATATAATCTTATTAGATGATTACACCAGGATAACCACACCTCAGAAACACAGCCCTGGGCCTGTTCAGGAGAGTTCTGCTTTCCCTGTTCACCACCACCTCTTGCTTCAGAACAACTCTCCTTCCCACGGGTTCTCGCTGGTAGGTGTATCTGAGCGTTAACTTCTGCAGAGTCTCTCAGACAAGCTTTGCGGAGGCTAATTGTGCTGTCTTCCTGGGCCGTTGCCTCCATGAATTCAGACTCCCCTTCGTGATAACACCAGGTATTTCTTTGAGATTGGGGGCCAGCTAGGTGGCACTGTCCCTAATCCTCCTCTTCCAGGCATTTGGAGTCCTGCAGCTCCTCTTTATCCTCCTTGTTAAGCCTGCTAGCTGTCTGTGAGCGGGGAGTTGTACCAGCAAATCATGCTGCAGAGCTGTGCAAAAACCCTAGAGTTAGGTTGCCACCCTGCAATCGATCTCTCTTAGGAGAGGGCTGCACATGGCAAAAATAAATAGTCCCTAGAAGGCAGGCATGCCTGGGGAAGGCTTTACTTTCTTCTGGGTCTCTTTCCTCGCAGCAGTTCTATCGAAACCAGACATAAACTTTCTCGAGGGTGAGACGGAAAAGGACAAGCCCTTGCTACAGACTCAACAGTGGGATCATTTCTTCTCCCCAAACGCCAGGCCTCCCGAATGCTGCGCCCCCCGGTGTGTGTTCTCCCTGGTCTGTGGCAGACAGAAGGGGGGTAGCAATTCCAGCGTGGTTTTTTTTCTCTAGTAAAAGGCTCCTGCAGCGTACGCGAGGCAGCCTGTGGCTGCCCCCAGCTCACCCCCCGGGGCTGTTTGCTGTGGAAAACGGTGGGTGGGACGGACAGAATAGACCGGGATAGGGAAGCTGCCTGCAGAAGCAGAGGGGGCTGCCTGGAATCGTATATCCCCGACGTAGCCTTGCACCTCGGCTCGCTACGACCGGCAGGGGACCGCCGCTTGCATCTTTTCCCCCTTTCGGAGCCTCTGCGCTGCAGTCACAGAGATTAGACAAGAATCAGCCGCGCGGCGCGGTTTTTTACTGGCAATGCAGCCACACTGCAATGTATATCGGGGGAAGAGTAATTTTACCCCGGTTAAAAGAAAGAAACGCAGCGCCATCCCCCCAGGCCATGAAATTCCAGGCGTGCTGGGTCCTGCGCCCCGCTCCCACTGCCGCTCCCCCGGACGGGGCGCACCCCGCTGGTCGCCCCGCGGACGCTGCTCGGTGCATGGGGGAGCGCCGCTGCTCTCCCTCCGGCGGGACACACGTCCCGCGCTCCATTGCACGCGGCCGCCAGAAACCCCGCAGCAGCCCTGCCCCTTGCATCCAAAATCCAAACCCCAATCCCGCCGCTGCAATGGGCCTCTTCCTCCTGGGGCACCCCCGCGCCTGCTCCCCTCCCGCAGCTGTGCCTCGCGGCTGCCGGCTCCCTTTCTGGTCGGCAGCCGGGGGAGGGGCAAGGGTGCGCCCGCCCTAAAAGGCTGTGGCTGTCAATCAGGCAGCGGAGGCGGAGCCAGAAGCTGCGGCTCCGCCCCCCCCTGCCCTCCCCAGTAGCAGGTTTGAGCACAGTTCAATTGAGGAACTTTTTCCCCCCCCCCGTCCCCAGCCCCAGCCATGGAGGTGGGGGCCGCGGGCAGGCTGCGGACGCTGCCCATAAGTTGGGCTGCTCGTGTTTGCTGCTGAGTGGCTTGTTTCCATGGGCTTCTCCGGGGGAAGGATTTGTTAGCAGGAAAGGAAAGGAAAGGGGGGGAAGCCCCCAGAGCCCAGCAGCACCCGCCAAAGTGACCCCCCCCCAGCCAGGGGGGGACACTGCCCTGCAGAGCCGACAATGACCAGCCTCGGCTTTGATGACACTTCTCTGGACAGCCTGGACCCCTCCTTGACTCTCCAGGAATCCAGCGAGATCGCCACCGCCCTGCTGAGCGACATCGACGGTGGGTAGCGGCCGGGCAGAGCTGGGGCCCAGGAGTGGGCATGGCTGGGGGGGGCAGCGCCTGGGGCAATGGACAGCTGGGTCCTGACCCAAGTCCCTGCTGAATGGCGACTCAGCCCAGGTCTGGGGGCAGGGAGGAGCCGGGAGGGGGTGTATGGGGGCTGAAGGCTCCTGTGAACCCCGGGCGCCTGGCTTAGGCAGGGGGGCTGGGTTTCATTTCAGTGCTTTTTACACTTCGGCGTGGTGGGGGTGGGAGGGTTTCTTTGGTCCCCTCCCCCCAGTCCTGCATCTTGGCCCCTTCTAGCCCCGTGTCTCTGCGTTTCTAAGCTCCGGGATGAAGCCGCTCACGTCGCACACGTGTGTGTATGCGAGAGGGGCAGCGATCCGCAGGCGGGCACCGCATTTCGGGGGTTCTCTTCTCCCTCGCTTGGGTGGGGGGCTGGGTGCATGGGTGGGGGCGGGGAGTTTCTGTGATTTCCGATCACGCTGGGGGCTCCCCATGTAATTACTCCCTGATAGATTTTGATTTTAGGAGCCTGCTGCTGTCCCCGGCTGCAAGTGGGGTGCACGCTCGGGGAGGGGTGCAGCCGGCTGCAAGTGGGGTGCACGCTCGGGGAGGGGTGCAGCCGGCTGCAATTGGGGTGCACGCTCGGGGGGCTCTAGCCGGCTGCAATTGGGGTGCACGCTCGGGGGAGGGGGGGCTGCAGCCGGCTGTGCTGGGCCCGGCTCGGAAGCCAGGCCCGCTAATAATAAACCCAGCCCGGTCCCCAGGGGCGGGGACGCTCCTCGGGTGGCTCCGGCTCCGCGCCCGCCGCTGTGCGGAGTGGTTGCTCCCCAAGCCCCGCCCCCTTTGCTCCCCGGGGGCGCTGACGTCAGCGAGAGGGTTACTCTCGGTCATTTCCCTCTTGCCGAGGAGAGTTCAGGCGCGAGCGCGCGGCCGGCCTGCAGGCGGCGGCGGGGGCGTGGCCCGAGGGCTGGGGGGGCGTGGCCCGAGGGCTGGGGGGGCGTGGCCCGTGCCCCCAGGCCGGGCATCCATCGCTGCCTCCCTCCAGGGAGCAGCCCTGCCCCTGAGCCCCTCTCTCTGCCCGCTCTGCGCAGTGCCCACTGGCTTCCCAGAGAGCCCCCCCCCACCCCGCTGGAGACCGGGGGCACAGTGCAATGGGCAGCCCCCCAGCAGGGCCGTGGGGAACCCTGGTGGGTGGTGGGGACCTCGAGCGGGACGTTCGGTCACTGGCCCCTTTGCCCGGGATGCTTTGGGCAGCCTAAAGGCGCCTGGCAGAGCTCAGCGCGGCGGGTTCGAAATGCAGCATCACCGGTTCGCCCCGCATCCTGCTCCTCTGCGAGCCCAGGTGGGTCCCGCGAAAGGCAGCTTGCAGCCTCCCCGGCCGTCGTGACACCTCAGGAGGCTCTGCAGTGGTTCGGGCTGCCCAAGGGTCTCCGTCAGAGCCTGCGGTTCATATGGGTCTTGTTTATTTCGGGAGAGCCCAAGAACGGGTCCCATCGTGCTAGGCACTCTCGGGAGCCTTCGCCTCGGGAGCTGCGGCTCTCCAGGCCTGGACTGTGTCTGGATTAGATTTGATGTCATGCCATTTTTTGTGTTCAGGGACAGTGGGGATGAGGGGGCACATTTGGGCAGGGAGAACCCCCAAAGTAATCATGGGTGGGTGGAAGGGCCGGATCCAAAGCCCAGTCTGGGCAATGGGAGGCGTTCCGGTGACTTTGGATCAGGCCCTAAGTGAGCTTGGTTTAACAGAGATGACATTCGTGTGCTTCTGCACGCTCAACCCATCCTTTCCGACGTTCGTCAGTCCAGGAGTGTCGTCACATTCTGGTTTAGTGAGTGATCTGAAGCACCAGGTTCACTTCCAGCAGGCGCTGCATGTCTAGCTAGTCAGAAGGTGCATTTTGTGGCTCAGAGGGGCACCTGTGGCAAGCTGCTGGAGCTTGTGAGGTGCTTAGGGCAGCTAGCTGTGGAGAAAGGCATGCATGCGGGTGTTGGACTTGTCAGCTGAGTTTGTCAGTGGTGGAAGGCAATTTCTTTTTCTGCCTCCCCAAATTAAAAGCAAACAAACTGGAAGATAACCTGCCAAGAGGGCGCTTTAATCAAGCAGTCAAAGGCAGGAGGAGATCAATGGCTGGAAGACACTGGACTAATCCAAAGTGCAGATAAGGGGCACCTTTTTAACAGTGAGGGTAAACAGCTGGCCAAGGGAAGTGGTTACCTCTCTGTCACTTGGCATCTGTGGGTGAAATTCTGCCTCTGTTGGAGTTTTGCCATTGATTTCAATGGGGCCTGGGGCTTCACCTTTTAACTCCAGGGTGGATGTCTTTCCAGAAGACTCGCTCTAATTCAACCACAAGTTTAACGGGTTTGATGCAGGAATCTCTGCGTGGAATTGTCCGCCCTGCGTTCTGCCAGGGGTCAGGTTAGATGATCACTGCGATCCCTCTGGGCTTTAAAATTGGTGGAAAAGTGACAGTTAAATGCAATCTGAAGTCTGTGCGGTCTGTCACTCAAGTGGAGGATTGCTCAGAGCTAAACCTTCTGCCGTGTTGCCTGGCTGGTAGTTTATATTCTCTGAACGAATAATAAAGAGCAATACATTAAGGGTTACATTTAACATTGGAAAGAACGTGGTGAGTGTGTGGCTAATGTGGCAAAGTTTTAAGGTTGCTCTGGCAATATTAACTCCTACCATCATCGGCCTTCTGGGGGGTTAATTTCACAGCTTAATGATGCAATCATGCTGGCTTTTTACATTGACTATCCTTGAGAAGAAGATTAGTAAAAGGCAGTTATGTTATATGGTCTATGTACTGCACATCCATGGGGTCCAAGCTGTGGAGCGGAGAGCCAGAGCAGAGGGAGCTTTGGATCTGGCATTTGTGGTCCAGACCCACCTCCAGTTCATTGCATTCTATTAGACAGTAAAACCTGCCTTCATTAACCACGCAAAGGACCTCCTGCCCCCCCATTCCCTGCCGTATAGTCAGAGGTTTGGGGCATGTGCCCTTTTGCAAAAGGTGGAGCAGATGTACGCTAACTATGGCCCTGATCCTGAAAGCTGCTGCACCTGGGCAGACCCTGACCCGCTTGCTGAGTCAATGGGGGCTCTGGCTGAGGGTGTACTGCGCTGACCTTTTTTGAAAGGGGTGCTTGCGTGGGTTCCCTGAGCACTGTGAATAGGTCACCCCTGGGGCCCTGCTCCTACGGCAAAGCTCCCGCTCCGTGGCGTAGGCTCAGGCAGGTGACCTCCAGCATTCCAAACATCAGAAGATTCCCCCCCCCACCTCTTCCAATCAGTGTGAGAGCTGGGGAAAGGCAGGGGCTGTTCAGTGGGTTCCTTCCCGCCCCCCGGCCCTGTGCACGCCTTGTCACGTATGAAACGGGCACTTTTGTATTCGCTCCTATGTGAGTCATGTATGCCCAGCACCAGCCTCAGCCCATTGATTGAGTGCATTCAAGGGGCCCTGTTGTTCTGGGCACTGCAGTGAAAGGCAGCCCCCGCCCACGGAGCTAGCAGGCTGACTAGGGCCGAGCCATGTCGCTTGGGTGGCATTCATAAATACAATGAACCCTGCCGAGAGGCCACCCGACCTGCCTGGGCAGCTCCCATGAGGATCTCTTCTCCCCATGATCCGCTCCGGCATCTTCCTTAGGAGAGCCCCTTGCTGTGCACACCCCCTGCCTCAGCCCCTTAAGACTGTCGTTTCTTTCGGCCCCTCCCTGCCCCATGGAAGCTGCTGGCAGGACATCTGACGCAACCATCCTGCAGCGTTGTGCGCTGCTGTGCCAGTCGCCTCCGTGCATCTCCTCACTAGCCAGCCTGTCTTGGGAGTTCTCCCCAAGCTCCAGCAGAGCTGCTCAGAGATGGGGACAGGTTGTTTCTGCCAGTGCCGATAGGAGCTGTGCTCACCTGCAAGCTTGGCTTGCTCTGAGGTAGTCTGGCGTGGTTCCTCCAAGCAATGAGTAATCCCGATGGGTTGGCTGCTGTGGCTGTGGGCTGGGTAGGCCCCCCTGGAATTAGGGGGAGCCCTGCTGAGGGTGTGGAGAGCCCTTGATGTGAAGCTGGAGCAGGCAAGGGCTCTTGCCATCAACGCAACGGCAGGACTTGGGGACAGAACGGTAGAGGAGCGGGCTGACCTTTGCAAGGACTTGGGCAGCATTGCATTGTGGGGTCAGGAGCCCGGGTTGACTGCCACTGCCTTGCTGTGTGACCATGGGCTAGTCACTCCCACTCACCTTTGCAAATCCCCTTGAGAGCTGCACAGGGAAAAGCACTCAGGGCCTGATTTTCAAAGGTGCTGAGCCCCCGGTGCTCTGCTTGATGGCCGTAGGAGACCTGGACACTCAGCATCTGTGGAAATCACTGAGTGCCAGGCGGTTACCTCACTCCCAGGGGAAGGATGGGTGCATCAGCAGCCTCTTCCAATGCCGTGAAGAATTGGGAGCTGGCCCAGAGACAGTGACCCCAGCCTGGCCCCCGTGGGCCTTGCAGGGGGCTGCATTTGCTCTTTTCCTTGGGGGGGGTGATTGGTGGAGCAGAACTCACTCTCCCCTCGTGTCAAGCTGACATCCCGGCATTCACCAACGTGGGTACGATGCCCAGATCTGTTTTAGACGAGAGATTGACAACAATCTCTGAAAAGAAAACGTGCCCTCCTGCTGCCCGGTGAAGTCAGAAGGTAACTTCCGATCAACTGCAATTCAACCGTGGACTTTGTCCCAGGGCAAAGGGCTTGCCCTGTTTCAGAAATGCTGCACAGCTGGTGCTGTTATCTCCAGGAGCAAAGTGTGACTAAATTCCTGGCAGGGCTTCAGTTTTGATGCAGATGTCAGCGGTGTGCTTTTAGTCCCATGCCATGGGCCAGATCCCCATTAGGTCAGTTGCATTCTGTCTGTTAAATTCCTCCCCTCTTCTGTTTTTAGTGCGCTGCAGTGTCCTTTACTCCCTGTTCTAAACTGTTGCTGTGCGCGGTTAGTAGCTGCCATGTTTTGCG